CCATCAGGCTCAAAATAGAAACGTGCGATTGTCATTTACCGATATTGTGGATCATATATAACCTACTGAACGCGACGGGTATATTTCAAATTGCGTTGAAGTATCCCTTTGAACTTTGAAGGGATGCTACAACAAAATTTCGGCGCTTATTTGTTGGTTTATGCGTGTTCAACGGAGCAGTATCACATTGGACCACGGTGAAAGAAATACATTTAGGTGATGACACTGGCCGTTCTTCCCGCGGGGGGCGAGTGACAGGATCAGGGTGTAAGACAGACAGGTGGGGAAACGGCCGATAGAAACATACCGCAGCGCCGTGACCGGATTGTGTACTCGTCTGCTTGCGGGTGGCTTGCGGGTACCCCCGATTTGCGACAGATGGCGCTGCGGCGAGAAGAAAAAAAATGGAATCGAATTTGCATGGAACTCTATGGGAGAATGCGCAAAATAAACTGAGAGCACGACAGTCCTCCATTGAAAATCCACGAGAAACTTTCTCCATCAGTTTAACCGGTCGCCAGCGTTCGCCCACCTGGAGTGAGAGTTCGCGGTGCTCAACATAGATGGCGCCACAGAAAAAAAGAAAACCGAGGGGGACACAATCCGGACGCTCATTTGGCTCTCGTTTCACCACCTGTCTATCTTACACCCTGGACAGGATCGTGTTCGGAGCTAGCCTCGAACCAGGAGTAGTCAGTTCCGCGCCGCCGCAGAGGCCACTGGTCTATGAACACCGTAGGTATGACCAAATACTTGTTGCCTTGCAAAGGCGAGGCTCGGGACGTCATGCCATCCCCCCGATCGGCGCATGGAGGGGGGTATGGCGCACGTGTTGCGCGTCTCGGCCACTGGGGGGCAGGATCGCGGGCGCAGAGATGCGCTCAGATAAAAAACCGAAACCTAGAAACGCGTCAAAAAAAAAAATTACGGAATGTCGTAAAATGTTGCCCGATCCTTATATATTTTAAAGAAGAGTTGATTTAGTAGTTTTCGATGACGCTTAGCAAGATTCTGGGTGGAACCGTATGTTTATTTTCACGAATTAAAGAATTAATTAATAAATGTCAGTTAATTATCTTGCTACTCAGTTTGTTTTTTGCAATCCTTGACATCCGCCCAGGCTGGTAGTTTGTTCCCGCAAAGAGCTTTTTTTTTTTTTTATCTCGATCAGCACATTTATAGAGCTTTTTTGTTTTAAAAGACTTTGCAAGAAGAGCTTGTTAATATTAATCCGAAAGCGTTAACTGCCCCATGGAGCGAGCCGATGTCAACACAGAATACAATTTGCAGCTCTAATTCGTCTTCGTTCCGCCCGAAAACCGCCGATCGAGAACTGGCCGGTTTGAGTCGCGCTCACTCTCTTCTCCGTGATCACGTGCCGTTTTCGATGGTTTAGACATAACCACCAAAGATAATCAAAGTCGTGGCTCATCAAAGGCACACACTCTCAATACTAGAAATGGACAAACAAATATGATACCCATTTTGGTGGCTTCTAAAATGCTGCAAATACGTTTATACAAAATAAAATGGAAGACGTTTACAATCCTTTGTAACGCCGAATTAGAACGCAGCTCTTGAGGAGGAGGAGGGAAGGGTACAGAGGGGAGAAGGTGGAAAGTCCTTCACTACTAACATTGGTGTGGATCGACGTGTGCTTAACGCAAGACGCAGAAAATGCACATCTTTGGTGAGAGCGTCGCGTGTAAATTTGGCGGGAATTTAGCGGGCAAAATTTTTCCGCTAGATTTAGCGCGGATTTTTTTCTGCTAGTGACGTCACTGGTGGTCCTTGTGTCGCCATCGTGATAACGTCATCGTCACTGATGACGTCATCAGTGACGTCACGCGTCCCATAATGCACCGCGCGGTTACGCCGACGGCGACGGCGACACCGCTCAAGCTGGAAACGGGCACCTAAGAGCTGCGCTCTAAAAGTGGCAGAGCCACGTGACTTCTGGTAACCTTTTCCTTTTCTATATTTCTTCTTCCTCTCCAGCTCAGTTTCAGTTTCGAGCAGTTGCGTTTCTTTACTTTATCAAAAATATACGTAACACTGCAGCAAAATATTCGTTGGGCAGTCTTCTGACACCATAAAAAATCCTGTCAAAAAATTTTAAAAAATGGGGGGGGGGGGGGGCGGGTTGTTAGTGTCTCCTTAAATGCACAAGTTTGCATTTTAAAACATACTTCCCTACTGTCGAATTTTTTGGGGGCCTTGGGACCTGTCAAGGTGTCTGTAAACAGCTTTCCTTCCTCGTGTACCCCAACATTGCGTTCGTTTGAAAAAAAAAAAATTATATTATTATAATTTTATTATTAATATATTTCCCACTATTGGATCTCCTTTGGTCATGTTGCCTAGCTGCTCCTTGGTTGGAGTCCAGGATCCCTTTCAACACGCCCTTATACTGTTTCATACCGGTAGTCGACGGCAGGTTAAGAATTTGATGACGCAAGTTGAAAAAGCTCCGCCCCGGTCGTTATTCGCCAGCAATAATCCCCTCCGCTGTCTAAAATGAAGCATTTCGTCTGTGCCGCGACATCTGCTCAACACGACAGCGAGGCAGTAGGTTTCCGTCAGCTACTTTAACGGCCAAAGGCAAACAAAATAAAACAAGACACACACGTAAAAAAAGAAAAAAAAACGACAACGTTAAGAAAACATTTTACACATAAAACCGGAAGCGCTGTTAGTGACGCCACGTTGCAGCACTCTAAACTTCCGAACCAACACTGTCCTAAAGCGCTTAAAGGCCGACGTACACTTCGCGCTTTCCACTTTTGCCCGCCCACTCCTTTCCTATATCCTCTCCACCCTTTACCTTGCCGCAACTTGGCTCCCCTCGCAGATTAGGAGAGGGGAGCGTTAACAGGATTATCTTCCCTGCAGAAAACCGAGCACGTAGGCTCCCTGGAAGGCGGCTTTTCCTCATTAAAACAGATGCTGTGGCCAAGCATTCCAAAATCGCGCAGGAGCCTCTATGATCGGAAGCTGGAGATCGGCCTCCGCATCTTGAATCGCTCGTTGTATTTACTCGTATCTCTGAAATCTAACTAATCATCTTAACGTGTTACCCTTAGTGCCCTGGTACGTGCGCTGACATTGCACATCGTTGGAGCACACGTTTATAGAGTTCGCCTCGTCGCGCCTAGCAGCCGCGAAGATCGCCGGCGAAGTGAGGACGACGGGTGTATCACTGGAGCGTGTGTCAATAGTCAACCCCCGTTCACATCACGCAGCCGGCGTGCGGGCGCGCGCTTTGAAAGTCCTGGAAGCTCCTGCCATCGGCTTTGGAAACCGGTGGACGCACACAGGCTGCGGTTCCGTTCTTCGGCCTGCCACGCCGTTCTCGGCGCGCAGTCGTCTTTAACGTGTCACCAAGCCGCAAGCGCGCGGTATCGTCGGCCCTGTGTGCACTGCATATATGCACAACGACGAAATCGCTCTGCCGTGTTCTGCGCATCGCGCGCACGTCCTTCATGCGCCCGCCAAGTGACCTGATCTGCCTGCAGGAGATGAGGGGTTTCGGGAATGTTCACCCCGGGTGAAAGTGCCGGGAGCATTGCGACATTGGTAGAATTGGATTGCTCCCTCTTCATGTGGACCGTAGGTTCACACGAAATAAAACTCACCAGCATTAAAACACATACAGGGGCGATGGAACAATTTTTGTACTTTCAGTAAGTACCACTTAGAATTATTCCTAGACATTTGTGACCTACGAAACACGCGTCAGTTTTTTTCTCCATGCAGTGGCAGCTACAAAAAAACGTTTGAGAAAAACGTTCAGCCCTTCCACTCTCGTGAAGAAGGAAGACCAGCGGTGCTGTACTCGATACACTGCCGCAACGCGCACGCGCCCGTTTCCCGCTTCTTCTCGTCCGACACGCCGCCGATCGTGGATACGTCTCCGGCGAACCAGAGTCGGTCGCACTCGGCGCACGTGACGCCAAACGGGTTCTCCACGAACTCCCTCCGGAACCTCGCCGTCGCACCCGGGAACTGTTCAGCCGGCGTGGAGTGCAGTCGTCACCGGGCCTCGCGCTTGCGTTTGGCCTCCGTGGCACGATCGTCGTCCGCGGCGTTGGCCCGCCGGTGCTTTTTACATCGCTGGTTCTGTTTTCGGCGGCTCGATACACTGTGTGCCTCTTCTTCGTCGTCGTGTTGTTCGCGCTGTTTCCTACGATGAATTCCCACCAACGCGCAGAACTATCCATTCTTCCATTATAGCTGGAAAGGTTGCCGGCGTCTACGAGCGACGGCGGAAACTATACTGGTTGTATGCTTGCCGCCGTCGCTTATAGATGGCGGTAGCTGTCCAGGTAGGTTCGTGTCGACATACACGGACACGATCCTGGGGAACCTAGCCCTTAACAGCTACTCTGTAAAAACCAAGCAGTATTAGCCCCCTCAGCTCGCAGCCAGAACAAGCGGCCATGTGACCTGGAGCCAATTGTATGCTGCCAAAGTTTATCATAACCCCGCGCTGGTGTTGGCAAAATACAGGTCACACGCCGAGTTGCACGCATCGCTAAGGTTCGGCTGTTCCCGTCATCGCATCTATTGGGCACGAGCTACTACCCAAATGCATGTCGAGGCATTGAATGTCGTGAGCCCAAATCAAATGCCCGCACAGTGCTCATGCTCGCTGTTTGAACTGCATTTAAATACTACTGTCGTCATGGGAATCGTAAAGCTTGACGACGAAGTCCTTGGGATCGCATTAGTATTGAAAATACCGACAATGTGATTCCCACAACTTTGTTATCAGGTTTTGCGAAAGACAGACTGAAAGAAAACATCTTCTTTTATCTTTAAAATTACTTGGTGAAAAAGTACAGCTTCTTGGTTAATGGCATTGCATGCAAGTATACTTAAGTCCCACTAGGGCCAGAAAACTTGTGTAAAGATAGAAACACTCCTACCCAATATCGATCACGGCCCCTTTAAAATCACCTAAGCCTCTCCATAAAGAAAAAGGGACACAACCAGCTATGTAGAAAGTTCACACAGCATTGTTTATTAGTGCAACTACATATAACTTCCCCCGCAGTCACACACTGTACAAAAATGGTTTACTATGGAGTTCTGACGACGCACAGGCTGGCAGCACCGTCTTGCACCGTCATCAGACGGCTTTGACAATGCACACGGATAAGGCACCGTTGGCGGTAGGCTGATGTGCAGCGGACCTAAGCAGCACATTGTTGTAGTACGCCGAGCTCGCACGAAGGCCGGACATGTGCTGGAAGAAGTCCTCCTTCTCGATTTGCACCGTGAAGTAGTGGAAACCCAGTTCCTTGAAAATGGCCGTCACCTGCCATGGAATGACGGTTTATTAATTTCAAGTAACTTCGCAGATAGAAATGGAAGAAGCATGAAACATTAAACATAGGACAGCCCCTTTCGAAACAACCCCAATTACAAGCTAGCATTATAACAAGCTAAGGTCACAATGAACTACTGTTATATAACAGACTTTTGAACAAAGGTAAGAACAGATTTATTGTCTCGATCGGTGCTCATCATGACGAAAGGTACGCTCACACATGTCGAGGACTATTGCTGCTTTGAGAAGCCAGAGGAAACTAGACACGCGCGACGGGATCGCCCTCCGGCGGAAGGAAAGGAAATTAGGCACGCAAGCGCTTGGAACAACGACAACGAGAGGGCAGTGCGCTTCCCTACCCCTCCTCCTTCCCATTAATTTTTCCACTAAACTTAGTGGGAAAATTTCCCTGCTAAATTTAGAGGGGAAATTTTTCCACTAAATTTGGTGCCGAAATGTTTCTGCTAAGATTGATGGAAAAATTTCCCCACTAAATTTGAGGGGAAAATTTTTCCACCAAATTTAGCAGGAAAATTTTTTCACTAAATTTAGCAGGTAATTTTTTCCACGAAATTTAGCGGGGAAACTTTTCTGCTAAATTTAGCGGGGAAATTTTTCTGCTTAATTTAGCAAGCAAATTTTCCCTGCTAAATTTAGTGTGATGTATCTGCTTATTCTAGCAGAGGGCGGGACATGTTGGGCAGCGCACGGGAACCGCGTGATGTGAACGCGCAGTTTGAAACGGCACGGGCCTCGGTCAGTCAAGAGCCATGATTAAAACAAACAAGTCGAGCGACTAACAACTGCAACTGGGTTCTTATTCGCGATACATCACATTTAACAGGTAAATTTTTCCGCTAAATTTGGCACGGAAATTGGGGAATTTTTCTGTTAAATTTAGCGGGTAAATTTTTGAACTAAACTTACCAGGGATATTTTTCCACTAAATCGCTAAATTTAGAGGGGAAATTTTTCCGCTAAATCACAAAATTTAGCGGGGAAAATAAAGTTTCTGTAAAAGCACACGAAAAATCCATGGAACCCTAGCCATAAACAGCTTCGCTGTAGAAACCATCAAATAAAAAAAAATATCTAATTGTTTGTTCCATCCAGATTGGTTATTCTCTACTGTGCCATGACAGTCTTGAAGGCACCTATCGTTCTTAAATCCAATCAATGATGTATATGAAAAGGAACAAAACCAGTTTCTAGCTAGTAATTGTCCATGCCTGTTATGCCTCTGTGTCCACTGTACATGTTCTGGATCATTTTTACCCTTCAAACCAAAAATCTTTGAAATTTTGTAGAAAGCAGAAGCCACACACCTGACTCAGCACTTTCTGGGCATTGGCATCCTTGGTCACTTGAACGTGAATGGACCCAGCCAAAACCTCACTCGTGTGATACCAGAAATGTTCGTTCTGATAAGATATCACACCGTCCACCTTCACAACCTGCGCACACAATGGAATAAAAGCCGCGAGATGAAGATGCCACATTTCTCGGACTTGTTCCTCAATAACCCGAGAAAGGCACTATGGTTTTGTTTCCGTATGGTTCAAAATGCGTTGGTAACATTGGGCATTGCTGAAGAATTCAACGACACCGCAAAACAGTTGTATCTTTCGAGATTTACTTTCTCCACAGCAAGCCACAAAATAAAAATCAGTTTGGAGGAAACTTCTGGCACATAAAAAAAGTTGTCATTAGGGGTGTGAGAATATTAAAATTTTCCAATATGAATATTCGAAAAAAAAAATAGGTTTGAATAATAAATATGTTTCAAATATAAGTGCACCATTCAGAAATAACAAAACAAATATGTAAATACTTCCTATATTACTTTGCAAACCAAAAATGATAACCAATTCAAGTAGATAGATAAAACTACCCGACTAGGCAGCATATAAACAATGCAATTAATAACAACTGTTACATGAAAGCAGGCAAAAGGTGCAACTGATAAGTTATACAAATTGACAAAATTAAGAGTGTACAAAACTGCACATGTCTAGACAGCATGTAAAATGCAACCTCTAATGTTGTCATACAAACAACTGGTAGTGACCTGTTTTTTTTAAGAAAATAATTGAAATTGCCCTTGACCAGCCAGCAAGTTAGATATCAGCTGCAAGTGCAATAATTGTAAATTATCATGAAAGAAAAATAATTGTTCCACATGTTCAGTATATGAACAACCCCTTTTGGCCATGACGATTGCTCTTGCAGCAGAAAATACCCTTGTTCCTGTAGCGGAAGTTATAAGGGCGCTAGAACAGTGACAATGCATGCTTGGCAAAACGAAAACCAAAACTGCTCCTTTGTCGTGGGCCAATACACACTTGTTTGAACAATTAATGCACACTTTTTTCGTCAAAATCGGTGCCAAAAATACATCCACGTTACAATCGAAACCAAAAGTCGAAATTCAAAAGAAAAAGCAACACTCGGCGGAAGGTGACTAGACCCATCGCCATCGAAACCATTTGTTTACATTCCCATTCCAATAACCGTATCACGCGAAATCTCTCATGTCTACAGACTCTCATGCCGTTAAGACAAAAAAACAAATTCCACTAGGAAGCTTTATTTGAAATAAAGGCCAACATGCTAGCAGTGCTGGCCTTTCGTTGCGTGGCCTCACAATCCCAGCAACCCGACGAGCTTGCAAAGTTGTTTTGGAAGACGACGCTCTCAGAGGCAATGGTTGCGCACTCGTACAAGTGTGAGAAGCATGGCACTTGGAATGCTTTAGACGAAAGCAAGGGGTACTTCTTTGGACAGCGAAGAGCCATAGTCGAACTTCGACAGCGGCGACTAGTGTACGGTATTTATTTTCATGTTGGCGTGCGTTTCATAAAATTTGTTCTATGAGATATGCATTCAAACTTGATTATTTTACCTGCGTGGTAGCATATCAGCAGCAATTTACATTTTAAATACCTGGGAGCTAAATCTGCCTACTAAGTTTTGGAGGCACATCAAATTGTGCAAACATGGTAGTTCTACATAGAACGTAAATGGCAAGGGTTTATACAAAAATTGCTACAATATTCGCAATTTTAGGTGACTAAACACGGCTTTTGAGGAAGCTCTGAATGTTCAGGGCATGTCCCAAGCGTAGACTATTCGGTATTTGCGCGAATATTCATACACTACCCGAATACTTGGCCATAACCGAATAATCGGAAATTTCCGTATACAGTCGCCGACCGATTTTTCGGACTTCGCAGGGACTGAAAAAAATGTCCGAAAAATCTGCAGATTAAGAAACTTCTTTTCATTACGTCTAAGCGGGCTTAAAAAATCCGTAAACAGTGCCTTGCTCCAGGTTACGCCTCCATTTGCATTTGGCAACTTTCTATTAGCTTGAAAATCGCTGCCTTCTTTCCTAGCATTATGGTCAAGTACTTTCTGCTTTTCTTAGCGAAACATTGTGGAGGCAGAAGAACAAATGGAGCAATGACATCCAAACCAGCAAAGTCCAAAAACACGATTCACAGAGACGAGATTGACATGAGAGGCGCAAGTTCATGACTGCAATGACGAATGAACAAAGCATAAAGCAAAATAGTAACAACAATGATGATGATAATGACACGCAGCTAGAGAAAAAAAAAAGCCGTGCAGCGTCATTTAGCAACAGGACTTAGCAGTACTCATGTAGTGCTGCCAAACCAAGTCAATCTATGTGCAGCCAACATAGAATCCAAAATGGCCGCTCCTCGATGGTGTATCCCGCTGATCGCTCGCAACAATTTTGTCTGAAAAAATTTACTTTCGGACTTCCAGCTGTTCGAAACATCGGTCTTTAAAATGCACTATTTCTATTGGGTAGGTCACAGTTCCTCCTTTAGGCCCGGAATATCCAACAAGTCTGAATTATCGACGTCTAAAAAATCAGTCGGAGACTGTATGTGATTCTCGAATCCAACAGGAGTCAAATAAGAAAAATATTCGATTCGTATATGAAACCTCGAATATTCGCACACCCCTAGTTTTCATCTATTCGTAACAACCCCTCTGTGGTGCAAGGCATGCCTGTTGTATCAGTACAGTCATGTCCCGTTAATATGAACCCCATTAATTTTAATACCCCAATATACTACAGGGTGTTACAGGAAAGGCTTTCGAAAATCCCTAAAAATAGGGTGGTTTAGAAAAAAAAGCTAACTTTTCTGGGAACAAACTGCCGGCCATGGCAAGCATCGGGAGATGCAAAACAAACATGCCAGTTAACAAAAAAACTTACTAAATAAATTTTTAGTTTCTGAAAGTGAACATAAGGTTCCCATTAGAAACTTGCTGAGCATCATTGAAAACCACTAAATGAACTCATTTCACAAAGGTATAAGGTAGGGGCAGCATTTTACGGCGTTCCCACAAAACGCTCAATTTGGACGCGTCCCTAGGTTTCAGTTTCTTATCGTAGCACATCTCCGCGACAACGGTTCTGCTCCCCAGTGGCTGAGACGTACACCAAACGGGAGAAGGACCGCTGGCGCAAAGATGCTCTCCCGTAAGAGACTGAAACCCAGAAACGTGCCCAAATTGAGCTTTTCTTCGGAAAGCCGTAAAATGCCGCCCCTGCCTTGCCTCTCTCTAAAATGAATTGATGTAGTGGTTTTCGAAGATGCTTAGCAAGTTTCTCATTTGAACCACATGCTTATTTTCACCAACTAAAAAGTCAACCAGTAAATTATAATTAATTATTTAGCTAATTAGAACGTTTTTGCAATTCTTGACGTCGTCTGTGGCCGGTAATTTGTTCCCAAAAATAATTTCTTTTTTTTTTTTCTTTTTCTCTACCACCTTATTTTCGGGGATTTTTTGAAGCCTTCGCTGAAACACCCAATGTGTTTCAGCGAAGGTGTTTCAGCGAAGGCGTTTTGGGAACAAACCAAGTAAACGCGTGCGCTTTCGTCTCGTTATTAGGGACATTTGTTGGGAGAACGGAGGTGTCTACACTGATGAGGCACGACCGCACTTTGTTTCAGGCAGACTCACACTTATGCGTGGCAATCCTTACTCAGCATTTATTAGTATTTGTTATACAGGCAAAGCTGTCATAAATTTCTTGTATGTACTGTATACCACCAAAAGATTAACAAGGATATTGTTTTTTAATTAAAAAAATGCATAATGGAATGCAAAGTAAAAAAATTATAGCATCCTTATGAGTTGCATTTAGTACTGTTTTAAACAGATCTAATGTTGTATACAAGATATTAATTAATTTTATTTTTCGCTTCCATTTTGCCGATGCCACCCTCCAGCACCGAACTGGGGCGTCGGCACGCTGCAACAGCAGCTTTCTTTCTCCACCAGCTTTGTTGCCCTTCTGGTAAAAATAAACTTGAAACCTAAACTTAAAAAGAGGAAAAACTGTCCCTATGCATGCAGCACACTAACAAACCATACCTTGGCAAGTGCAGTGGTCAGCTGCTTGTCCTGCAGCTCCAGAGGACACCTGAGCACCAGGATCAGGGAGGAGTGCTTGAGGAGGGGCAGCACGCTCAGGAAGATGAGCACGGCGATGAAGAGGGAGCACACGGGGTCCGCAATCAGCAGACCAAACTGGTCGATGAGCAGCGACGACACGATCACGCCCACGCTGCCCAGGGTGTCCGCCACTATGTGCAGGAACACTCCTGCGGAGGAAGTCCAACATTAGACTTACTCATACAGGCTCATACAGACTCTCAGAACGCCGGCTCCTTCAAACAAGCTCTCGGAATGCCGAGCCCTTCAAACAACTTTCAGGGTGTAATCTCCTTCAAACAAACTCTCGGACAAAACGCCAACCTTGAGGACCTACCGCATGATGCAGGAAAGAGCATCTACCATGGGATGCAGTACCTACTCTAAGTACTTGCATAATGAACACATTTTTCTTCCCGAAAAGTCTATACATATTAGGGGGGGGGGGGGGGGGGGAGTACATTCATTACGCAGGGTAAAATTTCTGCATTAACACACTTTGCGCAAAGTTCATTACACAGTCTAAGCTCGTTAAACAGACCTTGATTTTGACCAAGATTTCAGTCTGTTGTAAGAGGAGTATGTTGTATGCAGATATAAAGTTGAGTCAATGGTATGTGGAGGAAAACCAACCGAACTTCACAAATCGGTATGCTATATCTAAACATCTGTTGTAACCAGGTCTGTTGTAATGAGTTTAGACTGTAGCTGCCAATATGGTATGGCAGGGCACTGTGGCATAGCTCCACTGACGGAGGCACACTTGCGGCTAGTCATGGGAGTGCCACAGTAACCATGCTCTATAAATTGCTAATCTTTTCGGGCGCTTTCGGTGTACCTTTCGCTGAAGGAAAAGTACCCTTAGAAGCTCACGGAAAGCGATGCGACCGTTATTAGGCCTAACCACTTCTACGATTTCACTGTCCACACGAAGGTGTGCTTGTCAACATCAATGCATCCGATGGGCAAAGCATGTCCGGGACTGGGCGATTCCCTGACCCCAGCTTTGCTAGGTGCGTGCGCCACTCGGTTTCACTGTTGATCGCTACCACAACTATGCACTTGCAGCCATTACGAGCGCATGCACTGCTATGCTATGCTTGGCTTGGCTTGGCTTGGCCGCTTGGTGGCAAAAGAAAATCGGCTTGGCGGCTGGCCGAGTTGGGCGCAGTTCAAGACTCGCGGAGCCGAAAATTGAAGGTAAATTTATTACGTGAGGAAAAAAACAACTATTGATGCCTGCTGTTAGGGATGTGTTTATTGTGCGAGTAAATATGGTATCTCATGACACAAGAGAGAGTGCAGGCGCCGCTTCCCACCTGCCCTCACCCATTCACTTACGTTACCTTCGTAGTCTGCTCCAGCGGCCTGTGCGCCCAGAGTTCTCGCAGCCAGAGGAGCGAAGTTCAATCCGCACGTACAACAAATCGTCTGATGGGTCGTACGGTGTGTTGGAGACGATCGAATCCAACTACCGTATTTACTCGCATAATGAACACACTTTTTTTCCTGAGAAATTTACAGATATTTGGGGGGGGGGGGCTTTCATTACACAGGGTAAACTTTTTGCATTTACACGCTTCGTGCAAATGTCACATAAGGTGCCAATATGATACAGCAAGGTACTGTGGCACGTCTCCAGTGATGAAGGCGCACCCATGGCTGGTCGGGGGCGCGTTACAATAACCATGTTTTATAAATTGCAAACCTTTTTAGGGCACTTTCAAAGTGCCTTATGTTGAAGGAAAAGCACCCTACGAAGCTCACTCAGCACGAAAAGCAACATGACCGTTCTTAGGCGATATATATTGCTAGTATCCAGCAGGCATGCTCATGTATAATCCGGGACTACGCGTATAAGAACTCGTACGGAGTCCAACCCCCGACCCCCAAAGCCCGCTCGCATGGATCAAGTTTCGTTCACTGAGACAAGAACTCGTACAAAGTCCAACCGCCGACCCCCGAAGCCCGCTTCCACAAATCAAGTTTCGTTCAAGGAGAGGCTACAAGACACTCTCAGCCTACAGCGCAGCGTGCACCTCGCTGTGCCGTTCTGTTGCGGTTTAAATAAACTCATTTACCCGGAGTATGTGAAATTAGGCCTAACCACTTTCACGATTTCACTGTCCGAGAGCGGACCACAGACGACGGCTTGTTTGTTGACATCAATGCATCCGATAGGCGAAGAACGTCAGGGGCTCGGCAATTCCTCGATCCAAGCTTCGTCAAGTGTGCGCGACACTCGGTTTCACGATTGATCACTTCCGTAACTACCGCAACTACACACTTGCGGCCATTACGGGACCAGCCTGGCTTTGCTTGACTTGGCCTGACCACATGGCGGCAAAAAAAAACTGGCTTGGTGGCTTGCTAAATTGGACGCAATTCGAGACTTGCGGATCCGAAAATTGGAGGTGCGTTGATTACGGGAGGGAAAAAAAATCAAAACATTGATGCCCGTTGTGGGGGATGCGTTCATTATGAGAGGGCGTTTATTATGTGAGTAAATGCGCTATAGTCTGTTGCAGGTTTTAAGGAAAGCAGGACAAGCTCTTCTACTACGCCCTCCACTCTTTCAACTTTAGCGGAGGAAACGTTAGGAAGTGAGTGGGGAGGGGAAACCTGCAATTACGGCGAGCAGAGAGCTTTGTGGAAGGAGCCTTTCCTTGACCTGCAACAGACTATACACGCTGACAAATCATGGTGTGCTAATTGAGTGCAATGCTCCGATTGGTCAGCGCCTGGTCACATTCAGTCGTCTTTCCAATCCGTTGGAAATTTTTGCAGTGCGTGTGTCTGACACACTGGTCGAGGGCAGTGGCAAAAGAGCATGAGATGTGTGTGGTTCCTCACTAAAAATTATTTTTGGCACCGGCAGAGGGTGCTACACATTGATTTCATTAAGGAGGGGCAGCCGGTTGTGACCATATGGCCACAACTGAAAGGTCACAACTGGAAAGCAGTGAAATCACCTTGAAGGTTTGCATTCCTGCCAGCAGCGTGGCTGTGCCCATGGTTGTGAGTGTGGCCATGGCTGTGGCTACTATGGCCGTGGTTGTGAGCGTGGGCATGACTGCTGCCGCCGCCGTGACTGTGCGTGTGCCGGAAGGCGAAAATTCCTACCAGGTTCACAAGAAGCCCAGCCACTGACACAGTCTGAAAACAGAGGAAAGCGAAAACAAAAACTGTCAGCAATATGGAGCCTGCCGGTACATTCTAAAAAGCAGAAACAGAATACCGAGAAAAATAAGATTATCCTCACTGGTTCTGCGGTGGTTGGAAGCTTTGATTACGATTTATAATCGGAACCTAGGAGTCCCACCGCCGACAGAGACGAAACAATTGCGACATCAAGAACACCTTAGCTCGTTATGAGTTTGGCTGGCTGTACATGTAGCATATTGCCATTCTGTGTAAGTTCTATTTTACAAGTTCTATTTTTATTTGAATCTGTGCAGACGAGTATCGCAATTACGGTGATCACAATTCGTAAACCAGCCCGAATGCAAGACGGTGAACGGCACGCGATACACCACACTGCGCAGTGGCGGCTATGCGTCAGGGTCCCAGGGGTGGGCAGTACTTGATGTAAGAGCCACACCAGAACAGCTGCCAGCTCTTCGAGCCGCTTGTTTTCACACGATGCGCGGTCACACATTGTTTGATCGAGTGTCGAGATTGTGCAACCGTACTGGAGTGCCAACTCTATGTTTCTCTGTATCAACATGCGTAGTCCGGGCAGTTTGGGCTTTCGGCACTCGTCAATAGACATTCCTCGTCCGCAAGCAACCAAAAACTGCGCCACTGGACGCAAGATCGACCCTGTCGGAAAAAACGGTGCACCCGTGGCATCCGCAGCGGCGCGGGACCTTTTTACTGTGACGGCAAACAAAGAGGCTTTTGCAGGCCAAAATTGGGATGCGTCTGGATGCTCTCTGGAATTAGAGGTCAAGCTTGCAAAGCATGTCGCAGAACCGTAGTACTGTGAGATTCAGGACAAAAAAGTGAATAAATGCGAATGGCAAAATTCACATACCAACCAGAAACTACCAGGAGTAACAAACAAAGAAAAGCAAATAAAGGTTCTTCTATGGGAATCATTAAACAGAGTTTGTTGAAAGGCCTTCTTTGCGTGTTCTCCTAGTCAACAATCGGGATTTTGTCAAATCCCAAACGTTTCTGTTCTATTATCGCAGAAAGCTGTCTGAAGCCGAAAAACACTGCAAACATGACTGTAGAGCGTTAACTTTTGCGACGTACCAAAAGGCGTTCGGTCTTCACTTGAGGAGGGTCAAAGAGCCTGGTGACTGCTTCGCTGAACACCATCAGGGCAATCACAACGAGGAACAGTCCATTCATGAACCCGGACAGCACCTCCACCCTTCCATAGCTGAAACGGACAGCAATCATTTTCTAAGAAACTCGCAGTGTCCAATGACGGCATATAGACGACAATAATTATAATAAAATTCTACGACACCAATGATAAAAAGGTATCATGCCTTAAATGGTTCATTTTAAATGACAGCAACAACTTTAATTCATTGTAATGATACTAGCTGAAGAAAAACTATTAGATCATATCTTCACGTTTTTTACCAACTCCCTGACTGTCCACTGTTCAGGCACAAAATATGGGGGTACATGAGACATGTCGCCTCTTTCCCAAGTCACATTTTAAGGCCCAAATGCAACAAGGTAAGAGAAAAAACCTTTCCTTAAAAAGTGACAAGACTAATGTCTACTCGATGGCAATGCCATCCTCTGCTGTTCTTACGGTGCCTTTCAAATGTCCTTTGTGGCATCGAGAAAACCCGATAAGCTTGAGGGAACCTCCAGACGTCCTCCAAAATGACGGTGAAGGAAAAGCTGAACCATGCGGGGACGGTTACCCGAAGGGAAAGGTGCGAGAGGCGGCTCGTCTGGCGAGCAGGGAAGCAGCCAGGCCCATGACGAGTGCGGAGCAGTCGAACAGCATGTGGAAGCCGTCTGAGATGAGCCCCAGCGAGTTGGTCCACATCCCGTAGAGGAGCTCCACCCCTGTGAACAGCTGAAACAGAACGGCAAGTCGGACACCGTCGCTGAGAGGAGACAACCGCCAAAAACCATGGGAGCAGAAAGCAGAGAAACAAAATGAGAGCATAAATGAGATAACACTGTGAGAACTGTGACTCCTGAACATCTATGCACGGTGTTAATGTAGGCCGCTTTAGCGGCCACCAGGAAAAAGAGGTCGTGCTTCGACGGCATTGCTTCAGTATTTCACTGCGAAGCGATTTCCTTCGAACCTTCTTACAAAATGAAGTGGATGCGATTGGCCACTGAACTTCTTAAAGGGGCACTGACACCCCAAAGGTCGTATTTATTTTTATTGTCTAAAACGATGCAAGTTGCAGTCATAGACACGCAAAAAAAACCGCATCGCGAAAAAAAACTTTCCCGCGCGCGCGCGCGCCTTTTTATTTTTGGCGTTTGATTTTCCCGCCTCTCGCCTCCTCGCTTCTTTTGATCGGTGACGTCAAAAATCAGGAAATTTAGAAGCTTTGTAGGCGACATCTCTATAACATTTAATAACGGCAATCGTAAAACATGTTTTTTAACGCAATTGCGAACGCACTACGGCCCTTCTTTTTGAAATACCAAAAATCGGGAGTTCGTTGTGGTGCCGTCTCCTGGATTTTTATCCTCCAACGGAAAACAGGCGACACCGCTCAAAACCGGTCCGCCGTAACGCCGCCGCTCACTCCTTTCCTCCTCGCTTTGGGTCGCCATGGCAACAGCAGGGAGTGGTGAAAGAAAGTCGACTCTCAGGTCTCCGCGATTTTTGACGTCAAGGCACCGGCGCCGATCGCGCGGGAACTTCGAATTCGGCATTTGGAAATTGTTTTTTTACTTCACAAATACTGAATTCCCAAACTTCAAATTTTGAGGGTAATGTCCCGGCATCGTTTTCAATCGTTTCGGATAATAAAAAAAAATATGATTTTGATGTGTCAGTGCCCCTTTAAAGGAAACAACCAGAGTGATGAACAAGAAAGTCGCATGAAAAAAGAAGCTAGTCACCTTAAGCAAAAGCTATTCTACTTCCAAGGCAGTCAACAGCATTCATAAAGTCTTTATTGGAGTGCTAAGCAAGGTATTATTATTGTTACCAATGTACAAGCAATGCCCGACTTGCACTCGGAGCATTCAACACCAAAGCCTCAGTGTGACAGACTCGCTGCCACAGTGGAACACCAAGCTGCAGAGTGGGACTCCCAAGGCTTGCATCGACAAGGAGAAACCCCCAACACATGCAGTACCATATTCGTTATACTACCATGCAAGGCGAAACTAGTGGTGCGTGCATCCTTTTATGTTTTTTACGCTCCTGCCTTTCCTTATTTAAGGTTTTAATTGTGATCTGCTTACCTTTAGTCTGAGTTCGAGAAATCAATTCGGGTATGAAAGAATCTAGCATCCCCTGTTTTCGTGTTTTTCGGTAAAACTCACAAATCAAAAAAACAACTTGCTGTGTGTTTTGCAAATTTTTTTTTTTTTTTTTTTTATGATGCAACATAAAAATTAGATTTTGAAATATGGGTTGATATTTCCATAAAAGACCAATTAGTGTCATGTTAGTGTCATAACTTTGGATGCAATCTGCTGTAGACCCAAAGGATTGTGATGAAGATGTACTACTCTAATGTCCCCAAAGATAGCCCCCATAAAATCGAAAGCAAATGGGGTGAAAATAAAGAGTAAGCTAACTTTCGGTGTGCGATAAAAAGAGAAGTTGAAAAAAGGCTACTTTCATATTTTGTGAGCTACGAAACTTTTGATTGCAGGGAGGGGCGATGAACCGAAGATGCCTGTCCCTCCCAGTCAGCAATGTTCGCTCATCTCCTGTCGTGGCTAACTAACACCGTTTCTGCTGAGGTCGTGGCTAAGTAACACCATTTCTGTTGAGGTCAGCATTGACCAGGGCCCTGCAATTACTTCTAGAAGTGGACTATCTTTCAGTATTTTTTTTAAACACTAGCAAATCGTGCCAAAAATAGAGGGGGCGGGAGTTGTCTTTAGGAGGCTGGGAATCTCTCGAGATATTATGGTATACTAACACACAAGGAATACATTCATATTTAGCTAAAAGCACCGTTATTGAAACCTCTACAAAAAACTGAGCAGTGCTAACCTCCTCAACTTGTGGCCAGGACAAGCTGACAGGCGTTCTCTTGTAGGTTTGTACCACCAATATTCATCACAGTCATGTGCCAGTGTTGGCAGTTTTCAGGGGATGTGCTATGTTCAAATGTTGTTAAACTACAGCAATTTCTGCCACTGCACCAATCGATCGCTAACATAAACTTAAATGTGTATTCGCCGGAAGACTGACTGCTACCGAGAGCAAGCCGCATGCCCTTGTCCTATCCGTGAGCCGCAGTTGCCTCTATGCGAGTAAGACACTTGTGATCCAGATGACTCGCAAGATTACTAAGTTTTACAGGGGAGAGAAAGAAAAAAAAAATATTACTTGCTCTTATCTTAGACGTCTCATAGTGGAAAGTATGTTTTAGATCTCTATTTTCATGTGCCAGCTCTGTTGTGTCCCACTATATGCAACATTCAAATATTGATCCGATTGCCATTTCACTGTCACTTTACTTCAAACCAATTTCACTGCGGCGAGACGATTGAAATGCCCTTCGAAGTCGGGTTTGTTAAAGATTGGGCCGACGGTTGGCCCTTTCACCACACCACCCAGAGACCGACAACACTCTTTCCAGGTTCGCCTCGTTAGAGCTCCGTAACGCGTGCAACAGAGTGCCCGCAAAGCCGCGTCTGTGCGCTCACCAGGTTGATGCAGAGGAAGTAGAAGATCCTCCTGGAGTCAGACTCCTTCATGATCTGCGTCAGGCCCAGCTTGAGCAGGTGCAGGAAGGAGTAGCCGGAGCCCCTCTGGAGCGCATCTCCGTTGAAGTTGTACAGGGGGTGGCCGCCACTCGAGAAGCCCACGAGGGTACCCTTGGAGCCTTTCTGGTCTGGAGAGCTCAGCACGACTGTCGCTGCCCAAAAACAAAACAATGTCCGGTCAGTGTCACCGTAGTCACTAGTAGGATGAGAGTGGCAGGGAGGAGTTTAATGAGGTGTGACAAATAAGTTCCGGGGCTGCTTTTGTCAAGTAAAAAGAGAGGGCAGCACAGTGGTGCGAATGCAGCAATCGAAAAAAGGGATCTTCGCATCTCCTCATACCAAAAGGGATATAAGCGCGGCTACAAATGCTCTGCGAACATTTAAAGCCGCGCTACATGATTTCTTGTGACCGCGTGCATGGGTACAATGGCAATTTCACCACAGACTGCAAACCAGTACGAGAGCGAACATCAATTCTGCATCAAACTCGGCATGTATAAAACAGAGACCTTTGAAATTATTCAGCAGGCTTGTGTCAAAAAGCAGTGAATTTGCAGAGCATTTTAAGTGGCATTCGCGCCTCGAGAACGGGAGAACGTTGCTGGAAGACAAAGAGCGGTAGGGCGACCTTATCCCACCTCCCCTTGACTTCATTGACGTTCTTCCATTCTGGAGGTGCGAGCACCACTCAAAACACCTCTCACACTTCGCTGGTTTTTGACATAAGCCTTTTAAATCATGGCAGAGGTCTCCGTTTTAGATCTGCTGAGTTTGACATAAAATTGATGTTCGCTCTCGGTTTCGTTAGCAGTCCATGGAGAGGTCGCCATTATGCTCGCGCATGTGATCAAACAAACTCGTGTAGCCCAGTTACAAATGTTCATAGAGCTGTGCCCTTTGGTATAATGAGACACGAAGATCCCTTCCTTCGACTACTGCCCCCGCATCACTCTGCTGCCCTCTCTTTTTACGCTACAAAATCAGTCCCGGAATTTTTTGATCACACAATGTAGTTTGCCAAAACGTTCGGGGCTCACGAGATGCCGAAATGCCATCGAAGGCAGCAAGTGAGCTTGCTACCCTAACCGATAGAAATAGGTCATATTCACGACCAATAATTCGGCCAGCTGGAAGTCCGAACGTTCCAAGTTTTCTAACAATCAGCGGGAAACACCACCGCGAAGCGGCCATTTTGAATTCTATGTTGGCTCCACATGAATTGGCTTGGTGTGGCAGGCCTCATTGAGTACTGCTAAGTCCTACCACTAGGTGACGCTGTACAGCTTTCTTTTTTCTAGCAGTGCGTCATTATTATGATCATCATTGTTGTTACCATTTTGCATTGATAATTCGCCATTGCAGTCGTGGACTTGAGCCTCATCTTGAACTCATTCCGGTGAATCATGTTTTCAGAGTATGCTAGCTTGGACGTCATTAACCATCTGTTCATCCGCCGCCGCGATCTGTCGCTAAGAAACGCAGAAAGTACTCAACCATACCGCTAGAAAAGAAGGCAGCAATTCTCAAGTTAATAGAAAGTTGCCAACACCGACGGAGGCGTAACCCGAAACAAGGCACGTAAGCGTATCCTGAAACAAGGCACTATGTATTTATGGCTTTTTTTAAGCCCGCTTAGACGTAATAAAGGCAGGTTTTTTACCCCTTAAGTGCCTTGGACGAGCTGAGCTCGTCGGCCACTTTCTGGCTAAAAATGCCGTGGACGAGCTCAGCTCGTCCAGTGGTTTCTTCGGTTGCCCTCAATTCCACGGACGAGCTAGGCTTGTTCGAGTAGTTTTGCAGTGCTGATCATAGATGGCAGCACTCATATTAGTTGGCAAATATTTTTTTCACCTCCACTGATTTTGGCGTAATAAACTTTTCCAATTTTAAGTGTAATACTAGAGGAGTAAAAATTCAAAATAAAAAAAATCTGGCACTTTTAGGTTACTTTTGGAAAAAAGAATTTGGCACTTAAGGGGTTTTAATCTGCTGATTTTTCGGACTGCTCTATTATTCGGATTATTTTTCGGTCCCTGCAAAGTCCAAAAAATCGGTCGGCGACATGTATTTACAGATGCTGGATATATCGGCTTGATGGACTAGCACTTGTTATCATTTATTCTCGAACGAGAGTCGTGATGCTCATAAACGAGGCCCGTGGATATAGTTTCGCACAGAGCCCACATCCAGGCAAACATAGCGTTCTATGGGAAGACCTAAGTGCAAATGATTCTCGAGAAAATGCAATCTACGTTGAATACTGGGTATAAGTGACACATTATAATGTCATGGCACAAACGGCTTTCCAACCCCCAACTGATTACAGCCAGCATGCGTTCCGGAGAATGGGAGAATGCTGCTATCATTCTGGATCGTGACGGTAGCCAACACAAGCATGCAATTGTGTTGGCCGCTGTTCCAGTGTCAGATCAAGATTATGCACCATTTGGGCATGGCACAGGAAGCAGTAGTCTGTTTCTATAATCACAGCTGCCACATTCTTTCTGATAAATATTCGTGACAATCAAAATGGCCTTCTGCGTTTCTTTCGATGGGTTTTCACGTGGATATCAACCCTTTTAATTCGAAAGTTTGCAGAAAAAAAGAACATATGACAAACATTAAACAATGACAACCAGCAACATTAGGAGATTTCGGAATTTAAGATATGCTAACTCTGATAAACGTAAAATTAACAATCTAAGATAAACTACAGAAACATACCTTCCAAATTGCACCAAAAGTAGCTCCGAATAAATGGAATTTCAACCATGGACATTGTGCCCTTACCAAAGGATAAAACATGGCATACAGTACAGTCAACACTAAAAAAGACTAGCACACGTAGCTAATCGATGGCCAGAATGACAAAACCGTCAAACGCAGCGCTGCGTTATCCAAATTAAACCGAAAACGAACGGTCGAGCCGTTCTGATTTCTCAATCGCAGGGACGTTTCAACAGCCAGTTATCATTTCCAAATAATATTTTTGTTCTCTATAGGTCATCTATAATTCTCGCCCATTCAGCATTTTAAAAGCACCTGGTGGTAGTAAAGAGGTCAATAAAAAAAAAAAAGATGTCGCCGCTCTCAACAAGCAAGCACGACAAAACCCCATGTGTGCGGATAGGACACTAAACAGTTCAATCGGAAACGCATTTCTGGCGCCGCGATTGCGCCGGTCTTTCTCGGTGCCGACCGTACCCGCCGCGTCAAAGCGAGCCTTACCCAGTACAAACATGAGCCAGGCGAAGACCAGACCCCCCGACAGGAGGTGCTGTTCGGGGGTCGGACTCCCCCAGTAGTTGGGAAGGCCCAACGCGTGCCCTCTCCACGCGAGGGCGAGCGCCAACGCCGCCGAGAACACCGTCAGAGACCCGAGCTTGGCCGAAGCCTGCGGCCCCAGCCGGGCCTGGCACACGGACTCCACGTAGTAGTCCAGGACGAACAGGACGATGCCCGAGAAGGCCATGGGCGGCAGGAAGGGGACGGCAGACACGTGGTCCTTGCCGGCCTGAGAGGTCCGGAGCGTGGACAGTGGTGAAGAAGCGGAGTTAACTCCGAATGACGGTGCAAAAGGCACGCTGTATTCATGCTCGTTGTTAAAAACAGCCCGCACGGTGTGTTGCCGGAGGCACGGATGTCCAAGCATGTCCACAAAACATTTATGGAACGTTTGGACATCCTCCGGACGTCTGCAGGACCAGAAAGGACAATGGCCAACAGCTTTCGAGACAATGATGTTCCCCAAAGAAACACGGCTTTTTTACCATGGTAGACATAGGTCTACCATGGTATTTTTGAGAGACTGGAAGTCCCTCAAAAATATTTTTTTTAAGTGCCTGGTTAGGGCATGTATCCAAAAAATAAGCATTTTCCAAACAAGAATAATTTTGAGCACAATGTTTACATCACCAGATTCATTTTGAATCATACTGTGCAAAACAAGAGACTATGGCAAGAAAAAAATTCCAAGGACACCTAAGCACTTCTTATGAGCTGTGAATGTGAAAGCATCCCTGACACCCTGATGACTTCTGCGCTGCTGGGTGAGGCAGCGGCAGGAGTGCGAAGCTCGGTGCAGCGCGTGCCGAGATCCTGTGTCCTCTCATCATCATCATCGCCCTAGATGAGGGTACCAGTTGACGACGTTAGAGCTCAAAGCGTAAGGTTAGGGCTAACATCAGGCGAGTGCATACCCACATCCCCCCCTCACGTCTAACAGCTGTGCGTACCGGATGACGTTAGACCTCAAAGCATAATGAAAGGCCTAACGCCAGGCCAGCACATACCCGTGCCCCCCCCCTCCCACTGCGCCGTCAGCAGTTCAGCTGGCACCTTAGCAACGATGATGCCATTGCTATGGAGCCACAAAGCGCATCACAGCCAATGGAAATTTAGGTCCGGTTTCGCTCAGAGGAACTTAAATGCTGTTTATTGCTGCTACAGACCACGATGATGCCGGCTTCACTCAGAAAACGCCGGATGGCTCCATGAGCCATTTAATGCTTTCGCATTAGACAAAGCTTCGGAGTCAAAGGAAAAGATGCAGGAAGAAATTGTCTTTTCCTTCGTCTCCAAGTTTTTTTGTTTTTTTTTTCCTTACCGCAGTACTATTGGGTTTCGCAAAATATTATTAACCACCAACAACTCGCCTGATCTCTCACTTTTGCTTCATTACTTACTTAAAATTAAGAATGATTCCAAAGCATGCTTCTATTTCCAGAAGTTGCATGGGCTGGTGATGCCCTATGTTATCATCAGCTCGTGCAAGCTGACAGAGTTGTGTAGCATGACAGGGATCTTAGACCATGCGTGTAGCTATGAAATTAAGCTTACACTTATTGCTAATGAAGCGTGCCTATACTCAAAGGAGGCTTCCAAGCTTTTTGATCATCAAAAACACCCATCTACCTCAGATGACAGCAGTCTCAGCATCACTGCAATACAGCCCCACAGAAGCCTACAGACATTTTTGTTTATCAAGAAAGCATAAACAAGGAAGTATTTGGCTCATGGTTGTGCATCAAGGCATGGTTGATACATGCTAAAATCGTAGCTGAAACTGAGAAAAGACTCTACTTAGAGTTAGAAAACTCTAGAGAATTTGGACGTTTGGGGAATTCTGGGGAACGCTCCAGTAACCATGGGTTTCCGAGGTGTCAAATTTTAAAATCCCGACTTAGATCTAGTATTCAAGCTCATACAGCATAGCTACACAAGCAAGTAACGCATATACTGTACCTCTCCAGTGCTTATTATTTAGTGAGTCACTCGGCTGTGGATGCATACATGGCACGGATATTCCGCACAAGAGAGCTAATGTGCATTCTCAGACAGCCTTCCAGAGCCCAGGAGACAAAGATGGCAGTGCACAGAAGGCGATCATTAGACTGGTCTATGGCCATGTGAGTCGTCTCGTAACAAAAGAGCCTGTCCCCGCCTTTAATTTTTTTTTCAACGCACAACATGTTTTACGAGTTGTTTCCTATAAGAAAGTCGTCGTAAAAGAGCGTCGTAACAAGCATCATAGTGAGTGCCATAATGAGTGACACACTGGAAACACTACAGACGTCAAGGTTGTATGTAAAGATTATAAATAAAATTTCAAGCCTCGGCGGGGCTCGAACCTGGGTTGGCGCGGTGGTAGTCGGATACTATTGGCGACTCCAGCGAAATCGACGCTGTGTAGCGGCAACGCCGAGAAGCTCAAGAGAGGAGGCTGTTTCGACTCTATCGTTTGCTATCGCTGCTTGGTTCGTGTAGGCAGCATAAAAACAAACATCGTTCCCAGTGATTATTTTTATGCTCCCACCGTGTCGTTCCTACGTACTGACTAGAAAAAGGTTCCTACCGTCGAAAAATCGCTTTGCTTTCATAAGTAACCCCAATTTTATGCTGCAGTGCAAGAAATTTATGGTGGTCTGCGAGCTGAACGACGAAAACGACCTCCTTTTGTCACCCATTTTGCCTGACCTGATAGTTCACTGGAGTCGTGAATAACCACTGATCTACTAGCACGGCTGGTCTATAAGGGTAAATGATTTTATTTGAATGCCTGTGAGAGAGGCAGGCTTTGGACAAAAGAAATAAAATAAAATAACAAATACAATAAATAAAAGATACTAAATAAATTAAAAGAACAATAAAAAAGATACTATAAGCAAATAAAGTGAATAAAAGCAAATAATTACCAAAATAAAATTAAAAAAAACATAAATAAATGGAAAAGAGAAAATAAAAAAAACGACCGCATCTCCACGTGGTGATGTTGATTGGGACGAAGCTCTGGTGGTGCCGATGATACTGATTTTGTTCATAGGTAGTGCTGAGTTCCGGGTTGCGTTCCGGGTTCCGTCTGCGTAGACGGTGAGCCGCAGAATGCCGAGCTTTTCGTTCGTTTTCATCCATGCCAGAAAGAGAATGTGTGGTATGGAACATGGTTATATATGCATTTCAGCATTTGACTGCAGCACCCTCTCACCTATAAACGTTGAGCCAATGCATGTAAAGTTCAACGCGATTATATATAGATTTGACCGCAGCTCCCTCTCCTGTATAGAAGTTGAGCGGCTACATGCAACGTTTCATCCATGAAAACCCCAGCTCTTGAGTTACTACCACATCTCAGAGCCTACTCGTCCCACAGTCGTGGCCGAGTGGTTAAGGTGATGGACTAGAAATCCAATGGGGTCTCCCCGCACAGGTTCAAATCCTGTCGACTGCGCAGACATTTTTTTCTTTTTTTAAGAAGACAGATGGGATGGCAATCGATGTGAGCACGGACGCCAGACGGACAAGCCTAGACCCTAAGGAGCTTTGCCCCTAAAAATAATGATAGAGCTAGCACAAACTACACACAGAGCGTTGTTTGTGTGGGAAACGTTCCCCGCTCCCTGGTGTTTGTCGACACAATCTAGCCTGTATGTTTTTCTTTTTTGCTGTCAGTTTCGAAGATAGGTTTTACTGACACAGGTCTGAGCATTTCATAGACCCAGAGTTGAATGAATCAATCGCTGCCCGTTGAAAGAGGCAAAGAAATCGGTCCTACCGACGTGGAGAACTGGAGGACGAGAGCCAGGGGTGCCAGGGCCACCATGGATATCACGCTGGAGAGAGCGTTCAGCCGCTTGGCACCCCCGATGTCCACCGCCAGCGTTCTCGAGAGAGTCCTGAAGCCCGTCTGTAGACACAGCGTCAGCACCAGCAGCAGAACTCCGCCCTGGAACCGGCGGAAAGGCATTCAGCTCCTACCAGCATCTCATACAAAATACAGTAGAATTTCGGTAATTCAAACTCGCGGATAATTCAAGCTATTAACATGCAGGTACCATCCTATTTGTTTCTAGGAAGGAAACTTCAAGTAATTCAAACTTTGCATCATTCAAACAAAGTTTTAATCCCCCTCGGGTTCAAATTAACGAGATTTCACTGTAGTTGCTAGTATTCTAATGACAACAAGCTGGTACGAAGCCCGTTTAGCCTCTTCTCGCAAAACGTGACATACGGCGTGTCGCCCCCACCCCCAAAAAATTTACAAGGTCTTTTCCGCTGCAAAAATAAGCTATGCGTCGCCGAACGTTCGGTGTCCGCCCAAACGCGTCGCCGACGGTTCGAACCAGATGCCAGAGTTTCAGAGCTGACCGTCACCTTACTCAAAAGTTATACCCGAGAGATTTTCTGAAAATTTCCATAGGAAAAATGAGACCCCTTCCCAACAGTTGACGCCAGTGAGCTCCATGCATTCGTAGGCTCCGTCGGCCGCAATTTTCTCACTGGAAATTTTCAAAAGTTGCAGATGACATTTGAATTGGATGACGGCAAATTCCGAAACTCCGGCATCTGGTCCGGAACACTTGCCGGGCGTTGACCGAGCGTTCTATGATACATAGATTATTTTTGCGGTGACAAAAACACTAATGCACATCTTTTTCCATTTTTTTTTTGTAACAGTAGTTGCATTCTTGAAGCAAATGCACCGGTGACTTTCAATAAAAATGTGCAGCAATCATGTTTAGAAACAGAAGAGACTTACATACAACAAAGTGTGATATTTGCACCTTGTCACTCTCCCCCCATTCAAATTAACACTGAACACGCAGCTTTACAACTTCGCTTGATACTACCTCTGAACATATTCCATCAAATTTTAACCCGAGACGAGGCGAAGATAAAATAACGGACATACACACACGCCCAGTCTCAAACTCAGCAATTAGATTATTTCAGAAGCTCGTCTTTACAGACACAACAATACCTCCTTGTCATTTGCAACCAACCCCTCGAGAAAAATGCCGAACAAAGGAACCAACCCAAACATTCTACCACACAGATAGATTCAATTACAGCCTCCTAGTAGTGGTGTGAGAAAGGCGGGAGAAATTGGCCAATTGCATATACAGAAAGCAGCAGCCAACTGCCGCTCTCCTTAAACGAGACTTCGAACCCATCAAGGACGAGTCCCTGCTCACCTTATGGTCAGGCAGTCCAAGCCATGATGCCATCATGTAGAAGCCATGGCTTAGGCCATGGTGAAGATAGCCTTCCGCTGAACAACAACGTCAAGAATCGCAAGCAAAACAAAAGATTAAAGCCTATAAGAACACACCAAGAGTTGAGCCTGCCTGCAACTTGTACACTGGTTGCACAGTTGTGCCCACATAAGCCTACGACAGTTGTAAACGTCTCTCACAGTGGGTTGCCATTTCTGTGAAGCTCATTGTGGAAACAAATACTGCAACGAAAAAGACGTCAAAGGCTGCACACCAAGTCCCGCGGATGGGACTCAGCCTCAATCAAATCGTTCAACCTCAATTAAATTGTTTGAGATGTCTAAACATGCCTCTCATTTGCTGCAGGTTGCACACCTTTGTAAAAATATCAAGAGACCTATATAGACACAGATGAAAGCTGTGACAAGTACAGTTCACCAGTTTTCGAGGAATAATATGAGCCACAATGCCCACAGAAGACATAAACAAACAGCAACACATTGCTTCACAATCTAAACCCTGAAGACTAGAAAAATTAAAATAACAGACAACTCCTAGTGTCAGAGTTCCTCCTAGTACAGTGTAGACCGCATATAACGTATGTCGCGGGAGTCGCGAAAATCCGCACTATAAGCGGTACCGCGTTATAACCAAAACATCAATTTTTCAGGCCAAAATACATGCCATGAGACAACTTACCTTTGTAAAAGAATTTATTTCATGTTAGATGAAAAATAAAGCTTAGTTTGAGGAAAGTCTTTATTTCACCAGACTAGTACACTTCTCTCTCAAGTGTGTCACACATTTTGAAAGAAATGAGCGACTTTTGCCTGGCGCAGCCTTCTAGCGGCGTCACGGGTTGCAGATGGACATTGCGAGCGTTCAGGATTGCTAACCCTAATGACTTTTCTCCGGTGATGAAAACGCGTGAAAATTCGCATCCTTTATACACTACGCTCCAGTAATACCTTCAACTTGAGCACAGGCATGAAATGCTCCAAATAAGAAATCCGGGAGATGTTCTAAAACACAAATGTTTAAAAAGCACCTCTGTAGTCGAAGTAAACAAACACAACAACACGGGTGTTTGTGCCGTCTTGAGAGTGCCGCCACGACATCGCCGCACGAGTATGTGGATCTTCCCTTCTGGTACGTGCTGGGTTATCATAGCGACACACAGCGAAAATTCACATTCAAGGATAGCGCTTTTACGCGGAACGATGAGATGAACGCCGTCTAAGACGACGATCACAACGTTGATCACAACCAATGCCATGTTTGCGGAGAAGCAGCCGGCCCGCGACCGGCATGCGACGCGCGCGAACACTTCTCGACCTGCGATTGGTCTGTCGTTGCGGTTGTTTCGGATGTTTTCAAGGAAGCGGAGGGACGCACGCACGTGAACGACACGTGCGTGCGTCCCTCCGTCGCTAGGGCAACTGAAGCCTCTCTCTTCGCTTCTCCCGCTTCTTCGAGCAACCTCCTTGCCCCGCGAGTGCCGCTTGCGCAACGCTTGCGGCTCGCGCCGTCAGCGCCGTCATCTAGTGTCGCACAGGGAAGCGTGCTCGCTGCTCCGGTCGTCGGCGCGGTCGGCGGGCTGTGCCAGAAACCGCACTCTAACCGGTATTTCCCTTCGCGCGCCTGCGTTTTAAGCGGTATGTAATTACATGGAGTTCTATGGGAGGCGAACCGGTGGTTTAAAAAAACCGCGTTATACCCGGTCCTGCACTATAAGCGGTTACGTTGTAAGTGGTCTATACTGTAACAGGGTTTACATTATGGCACTTCCTAACCAGTTCGAGTGTATACTTTTGCTTCCTACAATACATTGCTTCTTTTACATGTTCTATACCTAAAGTCCAGAGGTTACAAACAAAATAAAAATATATTTTTGTTCTTTCCAATTTAGAAAACAATAGTCACAGAGACCTGAATAATAAAAGTAGCCAGTACACTTAAAATTAGTCTCTGTAGAGTGCCGGGTAAATGGTCGTGAGGGAAGCCACTCCAGTCTGCAATACAACCTCGCAGGGTTGGCAAAAGGGGACTTATCATTATTGCCTATTCAGGGATTTATTCGGGACAACCGGTCAATGTATCTTGGAGCTATAAGAGAAGCAAACCTAAGTATGGGGTTGCACAAGGCACTGTTTCAGATTTGAGCTACAGGGAAGAGGGGGCAGCAATTTTATATGTAATAATGGAAGCTACAGTTACTCATATTTTAGCATGCATTGCTCATAATCAAAGTGGCTTCTTGCGTTTTAAGTCCGTTAGAACTCAAGAAGGTAGGGCAAGGGAAAGGAAGGCCGGGGAGGAGGAAGCTTACGGAACACTTGAGAAGAGAAAGAAAACTTTCTCCTTTCTCCAGCGTTGCGTCTGCTTCCACTTCCTTTGGCCTCTTTCCCTCACCCTACCTTCTTGAGTTGCAATGAACTATAGTGGTTTAACAATCTTTTTTTTTTTTTTTTCATAATTTATGAAGGGTTAGACATATGACATATCAAAAGAGCAATAAATGGAGAATTCAAGAGAAATGGGAATTTAGACATAACCTGCGAAAAACAACAAAATTTGGATAAAAAATTAAACCGCAAACAAAGCTTTGCGAGTTTTCTCAAAAGTACAATCTAAACAGCCAGGACCTCACCTAAACCACATTTCTTTTCATAATTAAATCAGATTCAGATCTCGATGAGACTTGGACTATTGCAGGGGTGGCCAAGCTGCGGCTCTTCGCGTGTTAAAGCGCGGCTCGCGGCTACCTCCCATATGCCCCCCCCCCCCCGCCTCCCTCCCGGTCACACGAGCACTTCGACACAAAGAGAAATGGAAAGCGTTTTAAATCGAAAGACAGGTTGCAACTCGGATAGACTGAAAGTAGTTCGAGTTTCGTTTACTGCTCTGAACAAAAGTTTGCCACCCCTCCCCGCCCCGCGCGGCTCTTTGAAGTTTCGTGGTTTTGTTCTGTGGCTCTTAGGCCGGGTAAGCCTGACCACCCCTGGACTATTACATTATATCTAAAACGCCAGTAGAAGATTGCTCCCATAGAGACTACTTTTGCTACTTCGTGCAACTTCCCCCATAATGTTCCCGAAGAGCAACTTCCCTGTGACAACCAATAACATAACTAAATTTTTTTTTTCTTTTTTTTTTTTTTTTGGGGGGGGGGGGGGGGGGGGGGTTGAGGTGGCTAAAATCATCCAATCTATTTTTTCGTCCAAGACATTTCAAAAGGGAAGGATACGGTGTTCCGTCGGGACTGCTTGACTATCGTCGAAGTCCAGAAACAGCAGAGCAAACACTCCCAGAATGAAGCAGACAGCTCCCCTGAACTAGAAAAAGAGAAGACCCCAAAAAATGACTCAGTCAGGGTTGAGCATAACTGGACCAAGATATTCAACTCTCCTTCAACAGGGCACAACCCACAGCTAAGCAAGCCTAGTGGAAAGTTTGCTCGAAAGGGCTAGAAACATTGAAAGTATTGCTCAAACTGCAACATGACCTGGCCGAATTTCAATCAGCTGTCCTTTCAGACTAAGGTTTAGGATTTGATTCCTGGCAGTGACCAATATTTTATACGTCATAGACCTTCTGGAATGTCCCAGTTTGATCCCAATGCTTATAGTGCGTGCTAGCATAGAGAGTCTCGACTGCCCAGGGTGTGTAAAAAAAAGCCTGGGGCTGCAGCCAGTCATTCTTGTGGCAGGGTCCGATCCTGTCTGCCATGCGAACATTGTCACCGCTGAGACAGATGCAATTAAATTCTCTTTGAAAGCAAAAAATTGCTTTAGTAAAGCTGTTTACTGCTTCACAAGTCAACGCTTAACCGATGCCAATATTGCACAGACTCTTGTTCTCACTTAGCTGCAGGATGGAGCGCGAAACTTACGTGTACCACCGATGGTCACTTTTCTTGAACTAGGGATGTGTAACTCCATACGGGAGAACTTTCCTCAAAGAACTAGGAAAGAGCCTCTCTCAAGAAAACAAAATAACTCTTTAAATTCGAGTAAGAGATTTAGCTTGGCAAGTTGGTACATACAAGACAGAATGAAAAACAGCACACAAATAAATAAGAACGGAAAGAAAGATGCACGAGAAACATTTTTCATGTGTCTTTCTTTCCGTCCTTGTTTAGTTGCGTGCTATTTCTTCTTGTGCCATTGAACTAAGGAAAGCACTTGGAATTCCACATCATGGCTAACTGTGTACAGTCTAAGCTCGTTATAACAGACCTTGATTTTGACCAAGATTTTGTGGTCTGTTGTAAAAGGGGTATGTTGTATGCAGATATAAAGTTAAGTCAACGGTATGTAGAGGAAAACCAACCGAACTTCACAAATTGGTATGTTATATCCAAATGTCTGTTTTAACCAGGTCTGTTGTAACGAGCTTAGACTGTATTAGGTTTATTAGTACTTTTAGGTGTATTAGGTTTATGATTAGTCCTATCACAAAAATAATATGGAATTTCGGCAGTCACAGCAAAGAGAGGAAACTTGTCATAAATCAAGTTGACGTGTCGGAAAAGAGAAAACGTGCCGGCGGAGCACTCACTTTAGAATGGCCCCCAGCGCTCGTGAAGAGTGCTCTGATGCCCACAACCATGACGAGATCTGTGTGCTGAGTCAGCAGGACTGTCCTCAGAGGCCCACAGAGCGTGAGGCCAAACAGGGAGAGCAGGGTGAGTGCAGAGTTGACGACTGCATGACGAACCACTCGAAACCACTGCAAAACAAAGGTTTGGACGTTTAACAAAGAAAACTTGACATTGACACCAACAACTTACCATATTTTTCAGAGTGCAAACTATACATGTCGAAGTTTCAAATGTAAGGGGTGCGGACTACCTACAGACGCGGGCTATACAATGGATGGAAGGATGGATAATAACGGCTGTACCTTTTACAACGGGTGGTAGCTTGTGCCACCTAGCCTAAAAATAATGACAAAAACCTGATTTCCCCTTTTTTCTTTCCAAGCCAATGCATTACTGTAAGTATCACCAGGCCATGAAGGTGATCGCCAGGCAAACCCTTTGGAAATCAGGCAGAAAACCTAAAAACATCACCCCCTCCTCCCCCGGCAACGGAGTCGCCAATTTTCCTCTGGTTGAGCCTTGTCAGCGTCACCTAACAGTAACAACAGACTCACTGGGGGTCAGGGTAGAGACTTTAGGCCGGAGCCACACGGGGGTGTCCCAATTTTCTCTGTCCCGCCTGTACCCCCGCTGTGCTATAGTCCGTTGCAACTCAAGGGTAGGGCGAGGGAAAGGAAGACGGGGGATGAGGAAGCAGACGGACCGCTAAAGAAAGAAGGAGGTTTCCCCATCTCTTCTCCAGCGTGCCATCTGCTTCCTTCTCCCCAGTCCTCTTTTTCTAACCCTACCCTAAACCAACGGACTATACTTATAGTTGTACTTTGTTCAATTTTCCCTCGATAATTTCCACCAGCAAAGGATTTGTATTTTTCAAGGTTGTTCAAATTATGACGCAATTGACAAATTTTGTGAATGACAGATTACGCTAAATATAATTTACTTACGATGCAAGCTGGTTTGTGAGTTAACGAAGCTGACGTTTTTCGAGGTGTGACGTGCATGAGAATTTATAAAGTGTGCAGTATGCACCAGGTGAGGGCAATGCAACAGGTGCGGACTGTTAAGAAAACTGTTTTCAGAGAAAATTCGCCCCTGTAGACTATTTACCCGGTGCAGTTTAGGAAATATGGCAGTTTCATGCAAACATTTCCACTACTGACTAAACCCATGGCAGTAGTGAGAGTCACTTAGTTCCCAGAACTTTAGTGGTGGCACCGATTGAGGACAATTATTATCCGTGAAAACCCAAGGTGATCTCAAATACCTGATTGCGGGTGAGTCTCGCCCCCGACGAGAAAGGCTTCTGTATAAGTACGAGCCCCGCCGATGCACTGAAAGCAAGATGATCGAAACTTCGAGACCACCGTACTAAGGATCCAGGTTTCTAACAAAAGCAAAGAAGAAGGGATCACTTACATTATCCGGGAGATGAAGAGAAACTGTACAACGTGAAGATAATTTAATACGTCGAACGAAACGGAATAGGAATAAGCTAAGATGCATTTGCAGAGGATCAGGGCTGCTGTGTATCCTTTGAGCCTGCGCAAACGAAAACAAAATTTATCACCATTTAAAACAGGACAGCTGTCTGACAGCTATGCTGTTTATGCCGCGCTGCCGGAAGATCGCCTTACCTCGAAGAGTGGTAGATGACTTGGGAGCTGGGCTCCCCATGCCTGTAGTGTGTCGGTAACCGATCCATGGTTATCTTACACAGTCTGGAACATTGCACCTGCAATCACAGAATCAACACGGATTTTTAAATTCGCCATTATTGAATTCGCATGCCTTTCTCATGAGCTGCGCGTCTTCAACGCGACTCGAAATTGAGGATAAAAAGTCAACAACCCCTCCCATTCGAAGTGATTGTCAGCTCTTGGTTTCTATGAAACCGAACTTGAATGAGCCGAATATGCACTATGACATTGAAGACTACATCGAAACAAATCCGTTTCTCAACTTCACTGAAGGATCACCGCCGAACCGGTATCTAAAGACCCTCCCAGTTGCGATACTATCTCCGTAGCAGATACAATACATAATCAGTAGCCCGAACGCTATCGCAGATCGGGAAACTTACATTTTGGCTCAGAACCCTTCGTCGTTAATTAGTACCTGGAATTTCGAGAGATTCGGCTGCGTGGTGAAGTGGCGATCATGTTTTGAAGCCTTCGCTGCCTTCGCGATCAACGCGAGTCACCGAACCGCCGAGACACCGTGGCGGGCGCCATTACAGGAACCGGAAGCGCCTCTCAAATGTTTTTTAAGGCACTTCCGCTTCCGTAACGCATTTTTCCCCCTCACAGTAATGGCGGCCTACACGAGCGTGTCGGAGGCAGTCTTCTTGTAAATAGAAACCTAATTTAGTTTTGAAGGCTTTTTTTTTTTTTTTTACACTATGAATCCGGATAATTGTGTCATTGTTTTAGAGACCCTACGCAAGGCGACGAGTCAGAACGCCGAGCAGCTCAAACCTGCCGAACAGCAACTCAAATGTTGGGAAACCGAGAAGTGGTTTTATTCCGCGCTTCTGGTGAGTTTGCCCGGCGGCCTTTGCTCTTGAAAAGCGTAGACAAATTACACTATCGTTCGATTAAACAGATCCCCTCTGAGTAGATTGTCCGGCGATTCCAGTGTCGCTACTTTGAGAGCCCACTAGAACGCGATCTCGTGTTGTGCCGCTCCGCCAGAGAGCACGTTTCATCGCTAATTTTGAACGAGTTTTGATTGCTGATAGCTTGGATTGACGGGCATCGCTCCCACACTGTGTCTGTGTTCTATGCTAGAATGTAGTAGCAGCGTGAAATGCCGACGAAAGACGCCGATTATGTGCACCTCAACTTGACACTTCGAAACTTGTTCTGTCTCTTTGCATGGGAGTTGTGACTGTCACATCGGCGTGCGTTTGTGTTCGACTCGCCAGAGTGCTTCGATATGTTCTTAACACTTTCCGAGAAGAACTACCAAAGTGAATTACATCGGTATGTTAAATTATCGGGTTTCGTGAGACGTTGTCAAGCGACAGCATCTTCGGAAACTGCCAAGTTGGAAATACATGAACTGCCGTCAGCGAATATCACTGACGGACATCATAAAATCGACTTTTTGACGTTCCGAGCTATCGCAAGCACCACTGCATGTTCGCGCACATTTTCTTCTGTGTCGAGTGTTTGACGAAAAGGCAAACAGCGAACAGTAAACGGCGACTAAAGGAAGAGCAAACAGGACAAGCGCTGACTCTCAACTGAAATTTAATCATATGAAAACAAAACAAAACTGAACCTATCTTCAGTAAGACGGGTATCATTGGCTATGGAAGGGACAGAGTGAATCGAGAAATTTTAGAGGCGCATGCAATTATAAAAGCAGGCGCAAACTGCGTAAGCCAAACGTCACTGGGCTTGAGTAGTAAAGAGAGGGTTTTTTTGGACACGTGGTGAATGTATCATGTGACATGGGCGGAGTTGCTGTTTTCTTTGTTTTGTTTTCATGTGATTAAATTTCAGTTGAGAGTCAGCGCTTGTCCTGTTTGCACTTCCTTTAGTCCCCGTTTACTGTGCGCTGTTTGCCTTTTCGTGAGTATGAACCAACTAACCCACATCGCCACCCTTGTCGAGTGTTTCTTTTAAGTTAGCGCCAACTGCCTATTTTGAGCTGCAACTTCTAAGAGCTATCTTGTTTGTCTTTGCAGTCAGTTTTCTCTGATCACAGCGTGGAAGTGAACGTGAGATGGCTGGCAGTGCTGTACATAAAAAATGGCATCGAGAGGTATTGGAGAAAAACGGCTACAAAGTAAGCACTGATGACATCCACTCATGGTCTTTAACAGTTTTGGAGCTCAAATGGTTGGAGGAAACAACTCTTTTAGTTTTATTGCTATGATCTAAAGTAATGCAGATTACCAGTGAAGATATCATCCTCTTAACTTGCAAGTTGCTGTTATAACAAACACTTTGCATGTAAGGCCAATTAAATTGTGTGCATAGCTTTTCGTTTGTAAGCGTTGATCTTCCGTGTGCAAAGCTACAGATTTCGTGTTTATTTCTTGCACGGTAGAGAAGCTGCTTATGAAGGAATCAAAATATATAGCATCCTCTTAGAAATTTTATTCTGGCCTGTGTCTTAAGTAGTATTGTTTGAAATATATTTTCCTTAACATGACCTTGGGAATTCATTGATTCGAAGCACACAAATCGACACCCGGGTTTTCCCCTTTGCATCCTTTGTTTCAGTGCAATAGCAGAAGATGAAAAGAAATTGCTCAGGCAGAAAATGATATCCAACTTCAACGAACCGGTAAACCAGGTAAGCGAATCATCACCGTCGTGCGTTTGCTCGTTCGCGATTATTAGGGTTCTGTGTTTTTGGCACAATATCGGTAAACCCCGAAAAGCCACTCCCAACCCGTTCTATCAAGATGGGAGCTGTCCTTGGACTCCATCTTTTTAGAAAGTTTTATTCACAGTCTTATTTTGTGTTAACCCAGAACAAGCCTGCACAGAGCTCTCTGCAAGGCTGCTTCTTTCTTCGTGAACCTCGCCACTCATTTCGTCCCCTTCTTAATAGACCCTTTCCGAAATTGTAAAATGTATTGATTACGCGCAGCCGCCATTAGTTGGTCTCGTCACTCCCGGCGTGAAGCCCGTGATTGGTTCTCAGAGCTTGCGTTCCGCACTGACGCAGCACTCGTGCGGAATGCGTTTCAATCTTAGTACAGTCTGAATGCCGATGAAGCACTCATGGCCAATGCATGCTTTCGGTGCATGGCCAACTAATGGCAACCGCACATAATCAAAAAGGGTCTATTGGCAGCATACGCAAACCACAGAAAGTGCTTCTCTTGCTACCATCATTATTGTTTGTGATGTCATGAGTAGGGCAGACTGAATGGGACAGACCGCGCAGATCTTCGATCCCTCAGCTTGTCAGCTCGTTTCGCACTGTTCGGGTAACGCGCGGCAAAGCCTATTTCATGCATTGTGTTTATTAGGTGCAGTAATATTTATTGTGGGACATATTACCAAAGCTTGAAGCTGTGACACGCATAGTCGGGCTAACAAACTCTTTTGGCACTGATGTGTTGAAGCACTTGGATGGTGGTGTGCTGTTTTCTACCACAGTACAAAAAGCTGTACAACAACAAAAGAGGGACATGGAAGACAAACAAACAACACAGGCTTTCGACTTGCAATGGAACGTTCCATTGCAAGTCGGAAGTCTGTGTTGTCTGTTTGTCTTCCATGTCCCTCTTTTGTTGTTGTAAAAAAAAAAATAGAAAAAGCTGGATGATGAAAATAGAATATCTAGCGCTTTACCCAACTACAACATCTACCATGGCGAATAATAGGGTGTATATTTTTGTTATGATTCAGACAAAATAAAACTGTAAACGAAATGTCTCGTCAAATTGAAAACAGAAAAGCCAAATTCAAGAACCTCTTGCATGGGTAACAATTCAGTGAAAGCGACTCCGCGTGTATCCAGTTGGTTCCAATGTGTTCTGTGAGTGCTGGTCTCTTATTAGTTCCAAGTTGATTCCTTTTTAAATTTTGTAAACCAGTAAATAAACATTTTCTCAAAATAACTATAGCAGGAAAAAGCGTTGACTGGCTTCCATTGTTGGTTTAGTTAAATCACTGCTTATTCACCCGGTCAATGCGAAACATGTTAGACCCCCTAGCGATCGAAGTCTTATATCTAGTAAGTCGGTGACACTTCAGCATCCCCAAAAAAATGAGGTATACACCAGCTATGAATTACTACAGTTTGCATGTTTAATTTTGCGGACCCCAATGCGCATAATGCGTAATGCACTTCTCAGCGAACGATTTTAAATTTATAAGGAATTCTTAGTAAAGATTGGATAGAACAAATTAATCAATCACCCAAATTTGCCGGGTCATTTCCAACAATTTTAAAAATTTATGAAAATGTCTTCGAGCAGGAATCGCGATGTGAAGAACTTCTTTGCCACGTATTTGATGCGGGAGGAGCTAAGCATCAGTTGCTGACGAGCATTTACTCTGCAACAACTGTCGAGTCACGCTTGGATAGAAGCGTCGGTATCAGCAAGCTCAATGTAACTAAAGCATGTGTGAGGTGCTTTTGCAACACAACTGTGTGCACATGCACAGCTAAGATGACAGCACGTAATTTACTCTGGTGAATGCACACCCTTTTTCTACAGCAGCCTCCACAGATCCCAAAAAACAAGAATCGGGCTGTGAATAGCCTTGAAGCACACCGCACAAGCTGTAATGCGAAGCTCCAGGCTTGTCTTTGAACATTTTAAAATTTTAATAGAATAAGCCACTTCAAGGCACTATTATTCTTCAGAAGGATCCCAAACAAAAACATCTTACTTGTTTCTTTAGGAAATAAATCATTTTTAATCGGCATAGGTGCCAACTAACATAGCCACTCCGTGCTTTGACATAGCACGTCGTCTGCTCACCAAAACATCTCGTCACCATTTGGTACCGGGGCACTTTCTAAGTATTCGAGTCGCACGCACGTTCCCCGAGAGCTGGAAAGTTTCACCACAATGACTGCCAATTTTCGTGTGTGACGCCAAAGTCGGCCATCGAAAAACACAGAACCTGCGAAAAAAAAGTAAACCCGGAAAACCAACCTCGAAATCAGAGAAGAATAAATCCCAGAAACTCGCAAACACTTTTCGTTGCTTCATTTTCGAAATGGGCAGCACCTAGTGGGAGAACAACCAGCCAGCCAGAACGGGCCTTTTGCCATTTCTGCTCGTCTCTCGCGGCTTCCACAATCGCACATTGTAGGCGGCTGGCGCGCCGGCCGCGAAGGTAATGCGGGGGAAGTTGCGTTGATCACGTCCAGAGCAATGAAAACGGCCGCAAAGACATGGCTGCAGAGAAAACCACGACTTTTAAGGGCCCGAGGAATTAAGGGTACCCAGCATCGCTTTTCGCGTCGCTTAAAGCAAACATTCATCGCGACGACCCCGTCTTTACCGTCGCGTCGGCGTGTCTTTTGCTAAAACGCAACTTGCACAACCGCGCGAACCGGACATCGCGCGTTCGCCAATGTCCGTCGGTGCGATAAAAGGAAAACTAAGTAGTCCTTTTGTTACTTTCCCGAAGAAAGCTGCGAGCCTTTGAAGCTCGCCTGCGTCGGCACATCGCCGCAGGTTTGGAGTGCAGCGAATAAGAATCGGGGCAGACCATTTTGAATCCAATGCTCGCCCGGCGAAGCCCGAGCATCGTGCACTCGACTGGCACGGGGCACGGCACGACTCATTCTCAACTGCCATATTTTTCCGAGTGTGGCGACCCCTATGAGTCGCGAATAGTCGCGGACAAGGCGAGAAAGGCTTCTCCGAACGCCTGGGCTCCTCCTCGCGCCTGTTGGCTTTCATGCGTGCACGCCCACGCTGGATGCGGGGCAGCCAAGACTCCTGCCTGTCGTTCTCGTCCCTTCAGTGGGTGATAATCGCCCTCTCCCCTCACGTCTCCGTCCAGCTCGCCCTCCAGCTGGCAGTGCTGGTGTCCAAGGTGGCCCGCTTCGACTGCCCTGCGGAGTGGCCGGAGCTCGTGCCGACGCTGCTCCAGGTGGTTCGGAGTCCGGAGGACCTTCCGCAGCAGAGGGCGCTGCTGGTGCTGCACCACGTCACCAAGTCCCTGGCCTCCAAGCGCCTGGCGGGGGACCGCAGGGTTTTCCAAGAGGTGCGGGCTTTGAGCCGAGCACATCACGTGGTGCGCGGTTGTACGACGAGGGGTCGGACGGGCTTGAAATGGGGCCTTCTGTGTCTCTTATTAAACGTGAATAGCAAAAGGACGGGCCGGGACGCAAAGAAGACGGTACTGGTGCCATAACGCTAGTCCCGTCTTTGAGTACTCGTTCGTCTTTTGCACTGCCGTAAAATCCCAAGCAAGCGCCCGCTTAAAATTTTTATCCTGTAAAAGTGGGGGATGTATGCTTCTTAGGTCAAAATTATGTAAGGACATGTCTTTTGTGTATTTTCCTAATGTTACGAAATTGAGGGGTAGGCACTCGTAGAGCGGTTGGATGCTCGGTATTTGGTAGTATTTAGTACGCTTAACCAACCAGCCCAAATAATATTTTAGTACAGATCCTGTATCTCCTGTTGTGGTGGCTGATATGGCGAGTGGATTCTATCGTGTGCGGCTCGATAGGGATTACCAGAAGTGACAATAGCAGCCAGTAGCCGTACTCTAATCCGGAAGTCTCCAAACCCCGGCCCGCTGCATGCTGCTACAAACGCCGAAATAAGCATGCATAAGAAACAAAAAGGACTCCGGAGCACGCACCAGAAACACAAACAAATATATCAGAAAGAATGAGAGAAAACTGGTGCATCAAAACGTAGGTCTCGCCATATTATTTATTGTACATTGTCGTCACCAGCATTAATATTCACAGTTTCCTGCTTTACGTTTGTGTAACTATGATAAAATTCCCTTGCATTCTCATGTATATCGTGCTTAGTGTCCTGCGCAGGGTTCTCCCTACGGTGGGCATCAGTGGCTTTGCCACCCAGCTCTGACTGACCGCCCACCGCTTGATCATGCCACAGGATGACGATGCGATTTTGCCTGCGCTCATGGCTGAAGTCTGTCGTACTCAGCAGGCCCAAGCACCGCCACATTATCATGTGCTATCGTAACTGCCGCCACTCTTTCAAACAAGGAGAGCTGAGCCGCAGAGCGCCGCCGGCAGTGCGGGGAGGGTGAGGGGGATGCTCGGCCGATGAGAAACACAAAATAAGCAGACGCAACGTATGCACACCGCGCAACAGTTCTCTCTGCAAGTATTGATTGACAGAGAGCAGAAAGCTGAGAGGACTTTTCTTCAACTGCTTAATGCTTGCTCACGCAATGGCTCGCTTTATCTTCGCCTCTTCGCTCGCTCCACGCCTTTCCTCCCCCCCCCCCCCCCCCCCCCCCTCCCTTTGCCTTTTTTTATTTCGAGGCAATTTGGTTTTGGTTTTATCACCGCAGAGTGGCGCCACTCAGAGGGCTGCAAAGTTAGGGAGCCTGCGGAAAGTGCATTCTTTTGGCAAGTCAGATTGTGTTGCTTAACAAACTACCTACCTCCCCTCCCCCCACTGCTAACATGGTGGTCATAACCACCCTTAAAAAATTCCTGCGTCATAACTCATGCATGTTGTCATCATCAGATGTACCAGTCTCATGTCTTCTACCCTGTCTGAATATACTATAGTTCCCATGCGCTCTGATTTATTATTTGGAATTATTTGCAGTGTCATTATTAGCTACATATTGCATTTAAAAATAAAGTATATGTATTCCCACCTTCCATATATTTTTGCTTTTTGCTCTAGTTTAAATCTTTTGTATTTAAATGCTTATTAAGTCTTATTTATTTATTATTTCCTCATTTATATTGTCTTATTTATTTTCTGACCGTTGATACCATGACAGGTCCCCAATTCGGCCCTTCAGCCAAAACGTTGGGAGACACCTACTCTAATACATGCCAATAATTCTGTACCCCACTGCTTGATCAGATAGGCGGTGAACCTATTGTAATGATTCATCCACCAAACCTATGGCTTCCTTTATGAGTAGACCTAAGATGCAGAACTCTAAAACAGTAAAATAAAAATACTTCCCAAAACTTTCTTTTTTTGTTTATAGGAAGTGTTTACTCGGTGATGACCTTGCATTGGTCTTGGCAGTCCTTGTGCCATGTGTGGGCAAATGAGGACGGTTCCTCGAGCTCCTGTCATGCTACGCCATCTCCCGGTACTTGTCAGAAATGCGAGCGAATCTTCGACACACTTGCTCTCGGGCGAGGCAGCGCCATTCAGACGCAAACCAAGCTATTTACGAGACCCAGTTCAAGACTGCTCGTGGTCCTTTGCAGCTGGCCAGCAACATCTTTGGCTTCATCCTGCAGCTGTGGACGAACCAGACGGAGGGCTTTCTCGGTCAGATGGCCAGCAATCAGGAGAGTGTGGGCATCCTCCTGGAGAAGTCCTACCTCTGCCTCAAAGGTGGGATGGACAGACCCCGCTCTAACAAACTGGGCTCGCATGGGCACAAAATCTAAAAGCCAGAGAAGAAACAGGCAAAAAGAAGGGGAAAGGTAACGCACGCCCTTTGTCAGACTATGGGAAAACTGAGGGGAAGTGAAGAAGAATGCGAGGGCTGTCGCAACATGACACCAGAAGAAAATTTACCAACGAAGCGAGAAGGGCACAACAGCAAAACGACAACCAGATGTGGAGACGAGGGCGGGGAAGATAAGGATAATGTGAGAGCCAAGAGTTTCTGTTCCCTACCTTGATCTCCTTATCGCGTTGTTGTTTTGTTGTTGTGCCCTTCCCGTTTTGTTTTGCTTGTACTTTGTCTTCTGGCATGATGTTCAGACGGCCCTCGTATTCTTTTCCTTAGTTATCGTATCTCTGAAGTCGACCCCCTCTCCCACTTTTATTTATTTCCCCTGACCTTCACCGTTTGTAGCTGGTTTTGACCACCTCTCCCCCATCTACTTGTCATTTGCTGCTTTTCCTTTCTTGTTCTGTTTTATTTTTCTTCATCTTCTGGCGTCACATTCCCACGGCCCTTGCATTCTTCTCCTTAATTTCTCCTAGTTTTCCCATCGTCTGACGAAAGGCAAAGGGCGTGCACCCTAAACGTCGCTTGTTTCCTTTCCCTTTTTTCTTGGACTTTTTTTTTTCTCGCCCTTTTAGTTTTTGGGCCTACCTTTACGTGCCAGCAGCACTCCTTGCTTTGGAGGCTTACATATAGACCGACACGCGGAGCGACTCTGTTTACCAACACGGCCGGAAGGCCACGCATGTGCAGTAGCTACAGTCTAAGCTCATTACAACATACCTGGTTACAACAGACATTTGGGTGTAACATACCAATTTGGGAAGTTCGGTTGGTTTTCCTCTACATACCATTGACTCAACTTCATATCTCCATACAGCATAATCCTTTTACAACAGACCGAAATCTTGGTTAAAATCAAGGTCTGTTATAACAAGCTTAGACTCTAAGTGGGCAAAAGCAGCCTGGCTCTCCGTGTTTTTGCCATTGTGTTGTGTGGCGTACGCTCATTGTTGACCTTGTAGGGACGCTTCTAGCTTTATTTGTGTCATACTTTCTGACAACGTATGTCGTATGCTATGCCTGACTATTGGAGCTCGCTACCCGAGCCTGAATGGCAGCGGTATCGAAACAAACTGTGCGTGGGCGGCGTAGGCCTGCTGGACTTCCGACGTGAAGTTGCTGCCACCGAAGTTGACGGCTAATGTCGTCGTTTATTTGGTTTTGTCGCCAAGCTGGTTCACGGCCGACACGGTGCAGGCTTGCAAGTCTCTCGAGGCCTACGGTTACTTCGAGTCGGTTTCCGCTCTGCCGGCGGGATCAGCAGACTGTGGGTCTGCGGAAGTGTATTCATTAGTTAAATAAATACACACAGCGTCTTGAAGTCGATGTATGATATTTTTCCTACCCTCATAACAACAAGGCATGACAAGCCGTAACGCTTTGTCCGTTCTGCAGTCTTGGCGGTAACACGTTACAAGTAACGGCGTTACCTGGAATGCGTTACTTTTTCAGTAACGTAGTACCTACTCGTTACTTTTTCGGCAGTAACGGGTAATGTACTTACGTTACTATTTCAAGTAACATAGTTATGTTACTCGTTACTACTTCCCAAGTCTTGAAAGAAATTACACTTCAATTTTTTCCGTGCTTTTAGGCGTCAAGCCATGTTTTTCTTTGCATTTTTTCTCGTGAGTATTTAGGTGAAACCGTAAAAGAGATAAAGTAATTATGTTCAGTTTCTGCATGAACATAATGTTTCTTGATATATGAGCTTATGCATACCTGTATCGTCAAAACCGTAAAACGTGTTAAATCATAATTTAAAAAGTAGTGCAGAAGTAACGTGCGTTACTTTTTATCGGTAGCGGTAACGCATTATTTTTATTTTTAGGTAACTTAGCTCAGTAACGCGTAGCTTTTATTTGCAAGTAACGAGTTACATATTTCGTTACTTTTTTTTCTGTAACGCCTACAACACTGCCGTTCTGTCGCCGATCCCCCTCTGCTGGGTAGCACGGGCGTAGCGAGCCTCCGATGAGCTCTTGGTCGGTGTTTTGTGCGCGAACACCATGGGAACAAGATCCGGGTGGTCTCGATCAGACAACGGTTTCCCTGCACATAAGCAGGCCTCTGGACGGAGATCGAAATGGAAGCCGCACTTGCCTTAAAAAAAAGTGCTTGCCGCAGAAGCGGTCGTCCGCACGAGGCGACCATTCTTTTCGATCTATGGATATTATCCACTTTCTATGCCTTTCAGAGTCCGCTGGGAACTTGTGAAAACTCACTCGGCTACTTTTCTTGTACATTTCGGTGCAATTAACGACAATACAGCTTCACGGCATGCTGAAATGCTATGACACCCATGCGAAACATGCGCCCTTTTGCCCACACCACCCGGCTCCGGCGCGATCGCAGCGCCGCCGCAGCTCAGTGACGTCGAGCCCGCGTGTCGGTCTATAGGTGGATGGATGAATGTTGTTGGCCATACCCTCTGCATTGGGCAGTAGCTTGCGCCACGTAGTCAACACTGTCCTTTGTAGACGTAATGTGCACGAAGGACAGTGTTGCTATGATTGGGTCAGTGGTTTGAGTGTGTTAGTGTTCCAATACCGACATGCATCCAAAAAGGAGAAAAACCATTTTACGTGAAAATGAATGTTTTCCTCGGGCCCTTGGCTTACTTTATGACGGAGAAAGTTTGAGGAAGGGAGGAAGCGCATGGCCCTAATTAATTGATCGTGACGACGGCCGTCATGTTTTCAGTCCTGCGAAAGCTGGCGGTGCACGGTTTCAAGGAGCCTGGCCGGGTTCCCGAAGCAACCATGTTTCTCACCCTGGTCTTCCAGTGGATGAAGCCCATGCTACAGTGCCGTGAGCGTCCCCACGCCGTTTTACGCCTGTGTTGAAAACCGTCGTTAAGAAATGCACATACATATTGGATCTAATCAACATTTCATTGAACTTTCAGGAAAGTCGTTGCGATGCTCCTCTCATCCTCAGCTGCGCCAGATTTGCGAGAAGTATGTCGTCCTTTTCACCAAGGTGGTGAGTTGCTTTTTCTTTGCTTCTGATGGCGTTTCATTAGGTTACTTTTATTTTTAATGCGAAAGCATTAACTGTCATGGAGCGAGCTGACGTCATCATTTTGAAGCGCGAAAACGGCACCTAGTTTCCTTCGGTTACATTGGCTGGCGCGCGTCGACGGGGCTCCCGTTGGCTGCTGTGCGTCAGTTTCCGCGACCGCTCTCCCCATGGCACTGCGTGTCCATCAGCGTGCCATTAACACGGAGCGTCCAAGGTCACCGTGCCCAGGGGAGCACACTTGCTGACCGGCGACGAGAAGTACACAGCAGACGAAAAAGGGAGCGGACGAGCAGCTTGCATGCTTTCGCATTCACAACTTATAAGAAATGCTTAGGTGTACCTCAATCTTTTTTTTTTACTCTTTACACTTCAAGATTGTTATTACTGAGGGAGAAGAAGGATGAAGGGTAAACTATGTTTCTTTGTTGCAGCTCCACGACGTCCTGGAACTCCACCCTTTCTCATACGTCCCTTTCATCAAGCCGTCACTCGAATGCGCCATCTCCCTCTGTTTCACCGAAGCGGGTGAAGGTGAGAACTCATTTTTCAGGAAGAATAATGGTTCTCCAGGACTAGAAACAGCTCTGTGAGGGGGAAACCTCCTTTTCTCTTTAGCGTTCCGTCTGCCTCCTCCTCCCCGGCCCTTACCCTTGCCCTACCTTCTTGAGTTGCAATGGACTACAGTATCTACTGCTCTCTTCATGCTTGTATAGATTTATAGTGGTTTGTTCCTTTTACAAGAAAGGCGGTGCGAGAGCATGAAGGGTCATGTGCTTTCACTCTTTGAAATTTTATTGCGGTTAGGTCTGTACTTTGGCACAAAATAACTGCCTTCATAACTATTGTGATTTCTCGAGTATGGCTGTTTTTTTTCTGGCGGGGTCTATTCTTGCTTAGTTGCCATCAGCATTTCTAGGCATAAAAAGCTTCAGCAAGCATGTTGCCTTACTGCCGAATTCACAAACCTCACTCCAACTGAGACGCCCCTCCACTTTCTCAAGGAAGGTGCGAGGGCCGGCGCTGGCCAATCGCAATGACGAATAGGCGACCTAGGCTGCTTATCCGTCGTCGTGATTGGCCAGTGCCGGTCCTCGCACCTTCCTTGAGGAAATGAAAGAGCGCCTCAATTGGAGTGCGGTTTGTGACTTCGGCGGTTTGTCAGCTCCAGGTTAATGGAATTTCTAACTGCGAGGCTGTGGATGAACTTCACAAAAAATTTATGGCAAATTGCGAAGCAATTGTATTGGATACGTGAAGCGTTCTAGCATCACAAACGTTTGGCGATACTCCGATTTGCCAGACGCCTACGTTCACGGCGCTCTTCATCAGATATAGCTTTACGTGTACCATGTGTACACTTGATAGTGGTACCTAGAATGAAGTGATACAACCACTAATTGGGCTGATAAACCTGGCGATCTTTCAGAGCCTTCCATACTCTCAAGTCCCTCTCCCTTGGTGCAAACAGGTGGTCGAGCTCCTCCTCGCCTGCCCCTCTGGTCGTATGACCTCCCCATTAACCAATCAGTGTCAAGCACCTCACTCCTCCTCTCCCACCCATCGACCAATCAGTGTCGAGCCTCGCGGCCATGCCTTTGTCTGGGCTTCACGAAATGCCGAACACCTAGCCAAAGAACGTTTTCCGTTAATATTAAAAACGTTGACCGCCAAAGCGGATCCCTCGAAGGAACTTTGGAATGTCAGCCAATGCCTCATGAGACATGTGCTGTTCGTTCAGGGTGTCATGATCGTTTGTGCGTTTATGAACCATATTTATTTGAGTATTGATCGGTTCTTATGGAAAGGACCCAATGTACCTTGTGTGATAAGTCAATCACTGCAGTCTCGGATCGGCATTTTCTGCTTGCAGGTCTCCTGTTTGAGCGTTTCATTGTGCAGTCTCTCAACCTCATCAAGGCCATTGTTTCCTGCGCCGAATATAGGCCATGCAAGATCCCTGACGGTGTGTTTGCGACTTTGTTCTTTTACTTGCACATCTTTCGTTTAGTTGTTATTGTCTGGGTATTCGTATTTAGAGATGGTGTAACCCACTCAATGTTCTAACCCAAAGTGTTTCTTGACATTGGAGCCTCGTCCTTAGAGGTTTGAGTTTGACTGTTCCAAATTCATTTTAAGGTCAAGTTTGTGAAGCCTGACAGGAACATGTGACTGAAAAAAATGTTACATATGGTGTACCTTCGCCCTAAAATAAGTGTCTGACTTGTTTGACAGTGTGGGCAGGATGTCACTCCGATTGCTTTCATTACTGTCTCAATCATGTAAAAACGGGCCATGTCTTATTTATTTTCTTCGACAGGATCACAAAGAAATTTAATGTCCTCTCAAACAGTGGGAGATCATAAACAACTCAGTGCTGGACAGATTAAGTACTTGTATCTTTGCCTTATGATGCTTATCGGTTTGATGCATCTTGCAGACACCCAAGACCCGGCCACGCTGGAAGCAGCCCAAGTGAAGATGTCCTTCTTCACTTACTCGACAGTCACCGAAATGTGTCGCCGCCTCGTGCTTCACTACTTCCTTCTTACCGAGGAAGAGCTCGCCACTTGGGACAATGACCCCGAAGGATTTGGTCAGTCTCGTTTGCCATTCGTGTCAAACAGCATACTTCCAGGCTAGTGTTATGTCTAATTTGTCCAAAAAAGCCCTCGAAATTATATCTTTACTTCGGCCAAGCAGTGTTCAAAATCAAGCTTTGCTTTGTATCGTAGACCGAACTTGATGCTCCATGAGTGGCGGTGATGAATAAACATACAAATAAATAAGTTTGAAGCCGTTTCCCACCAGACTTGAGTTTGGTTTGGTTTAGCCGGGAGACAAAATATCTGCGTACATAGCACCAATCTCGCTACAGATTAGTGTAATCAGGGTTAGTGGCAGGCGAGTGCTATTGTCCTAAAACTAGTTGGATCTGCACTTTCTGGGGTACCGTACTCAGTGACTGGTTAAGAGTTTGGGGGAAACTCCTCCCACCTCTTTCCACTTCAGCAGAGAAAATGCTGGTGGGGAGGTCGCCTCCTCTTGTGCATTCGCTCTGTTGAAGTGGAGAGGGGTGGGAGGAGCTTTCCCCAAACTCTTAACCAGTCACCGCCTTTAGTTTTTGTATGTTTAGACACTTTTAGTTCTTTGCATTTGATGTCAACAGCCAAGTTTGTTTCTGAGGGGTTAGCTTTACGGTTTTCCATTGCCTCATTCGATTTGCACGAACTGCTTTGACCGTCTGACATTTAATTTTTTTGCACTTCTCAGCGTCGGACGGCGGCGGAGAGGCTTGGAAATTCTGCTTGAGGGTAAGTGACTGAATGAGGGCGCAGTCGCTTCGCTTAATTCGCCTCAAACATCCTTTCAAGTTCAAGACGGACGTCCTCACTGTTGATCTGTCGTTGCGCGTGTATCCGCTGCACACAGCAATGCACGGAGGTGCTCTTCTTGACCATCTTCCACGAGTTTCGGGAGACCCTGGCTCCTTTGCTGCTCGAAATGGTGCAGGGCATCCAGCCGACCGTGGACGCTAATTCCATCAGCTTCCAAGCCATGCTCAACAGGGATGCCGGTGAGCGCCGCGCCATCTCTGATCTCGTGCCAGAGACGGCCTTAGGGGGCATCATAGTAATGCCTGTAGTTTGTGTGCACCCCAAAAAATTGAGTTATTGTATGATTATTATTATTACTTGTTTTTGCAGCAGCTCCGGTCTAAACCGAAACCAAAATAAATGTCTGGTATTGCTTTAATGGCACAAATATGATCACAGCCGAAATGTTACGTCAAAGCGGAGCCACGTGCTCCACTAAGATCAATCTTAAAGATATGGCCAACTGCTCTTTGGCGGGTGGCAAGCAGGTTAACTTTTAGTCGAGGGACACTGGGCGGCACATCCTCATGGCGTCGCGTTGCGGTGGAGCTGCGGTACACCAATCGCAGAACCACAATGACGTCACGTCGCGGCCGTACGGCTGATGATCAGCGTTGCCATCCCTCTAGCAGGTAGTTTCGGTTCTGCTGTAGACACCCGAAACCAAACCTTGAGCCATAGTATTTCAAAACTATGCGCAATATCGAGAAGAAAAAAAAATTATACCTTGTAATTCAGGGACACTGCTTTAGCTGAAAACAGTCTTAATCCCAAATTAAAATATATTGACCGGAGTTGCGCTTTAAGTGAGTAAAGGAATTTGCTTCGTACTCCTCCCATTGTGCGTTGCAGTCTACACGGCGGTTGGGCTCGCTGCCTTTGATCTGCACGATGACCTGGACTTCGACAACTGGTTCCTGCACGTCCTCATTCCCGAGCTCAAGGTTTCGGACCCAAGGTGACGAAAGATCTTTTTTCCGCGTTTCTAGAAGGGAGGGGTGTGCCTCCAAAAGCAAGGTGAAGCGTAAAAAAAAAAAAAGTAATCTGCAACGGGATGGTTAGGTGCCGGCAATCGTAGCTTCACGCAAGAGTGCGTTTGGGTCAAAAATTTGCTGCTTCTCTAATCCTTCATGTCAAAATACCACTGGATGGAAGTTTAGTAGTGCATTCTATGTTTGTATTGGTCGCAGGCATTTACTTTCGGCTTTAGCACTCCATGTGCTAGAAGCGATCACTAAACTTTGTTGACCACCAATATTGACTGATTAAGCCTCTGAAAAGTATCTTCCGTAAAATCCTGTAAGGGCACCCTGCCCCGAGAGATTGCTGATCCCGCTTTTTTTGCCGAATATGCATTGGCTAACAGTTCCAAAACATTGCCCAGCCCCGATTCCCGATCGGTTATTGTGACATGCGAGTTTGTAGCGGGACCCTGTATGCTTGTCACTCAATGAGACGCAAATCTTCTGCGACATCGGTTGGCGTGACATACGAGTTCATAGCGAGTTCCCGCATATTTATTGCATTGTGGAACAGCAGTTTACTGCGTCCATGATCTGCGGTATCATTTCCTGTGACACGGTAGTTCGTAGGGAGTTCATTGCACCGTGGAAAGCGAATGTGATGTGTTTGTGATCTGCGCTCTTGGTTCCCATGACACGGGTGTTGGCGAGTTTTGGCTTGTCTATCGCACTGTACAGTGCTAGTCTGTCTGTGTTAACCTGTGTGTCCGCTATCTGTGGTATCAATTCCCGTGTCTGCAGTGCCTGGTCTTTATCACTTCCTTGATCACTTTTGATAAACTTTCTCTGCCTCATTCTCAAAGATCTCCCACCTGATATCTTTCACCATTTATCTCTTCAAAATGGGCGGGCGTCCTTACTGGTGGTGCAGTAATGGAAAGGTCTGTTTGAGACTTGCTGAATATGGCAACGTGGGCTCTTGAAACTTCAGCGCACAATTAACTCGCAGTCAGAATGGGTATCACGAGACTCTGTTGCATGCTCGGTTCATTCGATTTTGTTGTCACTTCCAACACATTCGTAAGTTGCTATTTGTCTCCCTAGCCACTGCGGTTCAAACTCAATTTTTTTTCAGAATGACTAGAGATTTCTGCAAAACAAATGTACCACCTATAGGCTTCCCTGTTTTGGCCGACCGAGCTAGCTACTTGTTTTGTGCCTTGTTGGCTGGCGCTTCCCTGCCCGGTGCAATGTTGTTGCTTGCTCAAACTGTACCAAAGAAAGGAAGTATTTTATGGCCGTAGATGTTACAGGAACTTCCCAACTGCAATCACGGCCTCGGGGTTGTGCCAGGTAGAAGAACTTGTCATTCTTGTGCACTTGCGTGTGAACTGCTTCCTAACATCAGGCAAAACACACACACTTGGCTCTCACCGGGCAGATTTGTCTTTCGTGGCTAATGGCGGATGCCACTTTAACTTTCCTCATTGTGTGCATTGTGGTACCTTTCCTACAAGCTTCAGCGACAACAAGATTCTGTTGTGTGTGATAGAGCAGATAAAGAGGGTACATGTGTAAAAGTGTGTGTTAACTGCACACAATCACAGCTATTGTTTCTTCGCATATTGTGGCGAAAAGCCGCAGATATTTTGCCGAGTCATTGCTGGACACCTGTGGACGCGTTTCAGGTACCGCATTGTGCGTCGCCGTGTGGCCTGGCTCATCGGACAGTGGGTGGGCGTCAAGCTCTCTCCCGAGCTGAGGCCCGTGCTCTACAAGACCCTCGTCGAGTGCCTCGATCCTTCCGAAGACCTGGTCGTGCGGCTCACGGCCGCCGGGGCCGTCAAGGCCGATATCCTTCGTTGGCGTCTTCTGTGCGGGGCTACAAATCGGGGAACAGCATTGCCCCCCAGGTGGCGCACCACAGAGTGTAAACAAAATGGTTCCAAACAGATGGGCCAGGACTGTTTTGACCTTACCATGTTTTCTAACACCCAGGAGACTACCTTATCCGGAGTGCAGGTCGTTTGCTTCTTGCGCAGGGGTTGCGGCGACGTCAGAACGACGCCGAGTTCTGATTGGCTTTGATTGGACGGATAGGGGGTAGACGTCAATGCTAGATGCCTTAAGGTCTCCCCACTCTTTGTTTTTCAATCAGCCAATAAGAGCTCGGCATTCTGACATCGTCACAACCATAGGCAGACTTAGCATTGTGCCACCCAAGGCAGCCTTTAACAATGTCCCCTGCCCCAAACCCCGCTCCCCATGGTCAGTGACCATGGGGAGCAGGGTTTGGAAGAGGGGGGAGGGGGACTAGCTAAGTTTAGAGTTAAAACATTCAAAAGTAGCTAGGTTTGGAGCTAGAATTCCCGAAGTTAGCTAAATTTGAAGCTAGATTTTAAAGAAATGTAGAACCAATTAATTTGGGGGTGGCCACAAACTTGCCGCTTGAAAATTCCGCAGCCCTAGGCAGCTGCCTACTGTGCCTATGGGTAAGTCCGCCCCTGGTCGCAACCTCTTTGCATCGAGCAGACGAACTTGCGCTTCACATAGCTTTTGAGGTTTCTCTAAGCGTACCAACTGCTTCGTTTCAGTTCAGTGAAGCTCGGAGTGGCGCGCAAGCGCTTCAAGTATCATAGGAGATGCATTCATTATAAAAGCATTTGACCGTATCTTAATTAAGTTAAAAAGTGTAGCCTCTACAGGTATGTGACTCGGGTGGTCTTACGCTGCGTTGAAGCTGACTTGCCGTTTCCTTGACTTTATTCACCTGTGGACGAGTTTGAGTTCAACACGGAACAATTTCTGCCTGTAAGATTTTGCATATTTTGCATGTTGTTTGCACTGAAGAGCTATGGATGTGGATTTTTTTCTTCTCCTATTTATGCAGTACCTGGAGTCCTATGTATCTCTCCTCTACAAACTGCTTCAACAAGTCACGGAGTGTGATACTAAGGTATGTGGTGCTACATCAACCAAGTCTCTCTTTGCCAGTGTTAAGTTTCTAACAATTAAACTTGGCTCGCTGTGATTGGTGCAAAAATGAGCGTGCGTAAAGAAATGCCATTGCAACACACACCTACTGCGTAAACTAAGATTCCAGAAAACAAGGCTGGAGAGAAATACTTTGAAAGTATTCAGTAATACAAATACTGAGACACATGTGTTTTAGAGCCAAGATGCATATAGTACTGAGATACATTTGCCTTTCATGTTACGGGATATCCCCGTGATACTTCCGCAAAATCGTCAAAAAAGTGTTCCGGAATACAGATACATAAATAAATTTATTTCCCGAACAATCTCAGTCACGGAGGGTGCAGTGTGCGGCAAATGCAAATGGCAGGGCTAGTATTCCTCAGTATTATGTCAGTTTATACACCTTCCCTTACCTCAAACCACCTTTTATTTTATTTTTTTTATTCTTTCATTTCTTATTTTTGTTATTATAATATATACCAGAAAACTGGGCTTCCCCCCTGTCTTTGAGGTTGTGCGGAGTGTGCATATTCCAGATTCTAGGACCCCTTGCACCAAAAAGGTGTTGTTCGGTTATCGTAAAGAACAGACAGTTAATTTTTGTTTGTTGGGCTTTTGTTTTGTTGCGCTTTTTAACCTTTTAAATTCAAGGGGTTCGTCCTGCTGAGAACTAGGTTGCTGTCTGTTCCTTCCTCACGCCGCAAGGCACACGACAGTTTGAACGATCGCTTACCTGATGGCGCTGCGTGTCCGCAAGGCAGCGGCTCAACCGTTCCATGCCCAAGGTCAGCGCGTTGTATGCCGCAGAATAAAGAAGGGAGCAAAGAGTGGCATGCGTGCTTTCGCGTTCACAACTCGTAAGAAGTGCTTAGGTGTACCTCGAGCCCTTTTTTGGCTTTGTCACTTTTATCGAATTATCGCTTATATCGAAGTTTTTGCTGTCCCTTTGACTTCGTCATAACAAGGGATTAGTGTGGATGTATTCATCCACCTTACATTCTTCTTTTCTTTCATTTTACAGAGAAGCTGTTTATGGCTAGGGTTCCATGGATTATTTGTGTGCAATAACTAAGCTATGCTCGCACCGCCGCACGCGCATGCCTTCCCCATATAAAAGATTCAAAGTAAATAACCAACGTAAAGCGTTGACAAACATGCGTGCAGGATGCCATTTGTTTTAGGCTTTTGCTTTAGAACAGTTACTGCCGCAGATGCCGGCACATGGATTACCATTCCCTGCTTTCTCCTTGATGTTTGGGTAATTTAGCAATAGGTCTATTCAGTAGACTAGTTATCAATAGGCACCATTTTCAAGATCAGTAGACTCTCAGGTAGATAATAAAGGTTTCTCGAAGATTTGTCGCTGTGCAATCCACGTCGGCCATATCTACGCTCACACCACCCTCTGTCGTCATTCCAAGCGCTTGCGTGCCTAGTTTCCTCTTCTTCCGCTCTCCCGGGGTGGCAGTCCCGTCGCGCGTGTCTATATTCCTCCGGCTCTTCGGAGCGGGTTTGTGACGTGTGCTGAACAGCTTCGCTGGTCATCCACCTTCGTAGAGTGGAATGACTCATGATTTTTTTACTCTGATATTCAATTTTGTTCTTAATAATGACTTACTTATGGTTATTTATTTAGTTTTTCCTCATTTATATTTAACTAGTTTCTTTTCCGGCCCCTTAGCGAAAAAGTTTGGAGAGCGCTGTTCTAAAGCAACCACAATCGCCAGCTATTGCTACATCATACGAGTGCTTGTCTTCCACCCCTCAGATCACGATCCTGCACGTGACATCGTTCATCATCGAGCGTGTGGGCAGCCAGATCATGCCGTATGCCGGCGACCTTGTCCACTACCTTCCCCTGCTCTGGGAGACCTCCGGGGACCACAACATGCTGCGATGCGCCATCGTGACCACGCTCGTGCAAGTGGTGGAGGGGCTCGGGGTGCACAGCGAGAAGCTTCACCCTTTCCTGCTGCCCGTGGTGGCCTTTGGGGTGGACATTCTGCAGAGCCCTCACGTCTACCTACTGGAGGACACTTTGGACCTCTGGTGGGCCGTCCTGAACAACACCAGTTCTACGTCCACGGACTTGCTGCAGCTGGCCCACTATCTGTTCCCCCTGTTTGGTGGGTGTCTTTGGTCTCGAGCCTTGTGAGGGTAGATACTAGATGACTCGGTGCTTTTTTTACTGCCTTGAGCTAAAGGCTTGACCACATGGGCGCGTTTTTCACTCGTTTCGTCGGCGTTCGTGTCTCTCTGCTTCAGCGGCAACTGACGAGAGAAAGGGTGAGCAACCCCATGGAAACGTGTGCCAACCTGCGTCGGTTGTGTGCTGCGCAGTGTCGCCAGATCGACTAGTCCTAAATCATTGGACAACCAGCGTGAACCACCTGTTTACAGTGTATTACTGCCACACAATTAAGTTTATTTAAACTTGGAAACCTTTCCTCTTAATTTTACGTTAAAGATGTTAAAGAGTTACCTGTCAATCTCAAGACTACCCGCATCCGCACGTATCTGCACAAAGGCTGACTCGGATGTTCCAGAGAGCACGCCTGGGAGCCGGTTGCGTGACTCTGATTGGTCGCTACGTGGCAAGTCACCTCCGGCGTGACGCCGATATCTGGCTGATTCAGATATCAACGGCTCGTGCGCTTCGCACTGTTGTGTGTGACCTCGAGCGACGTGCTCCGATGCTGGGAGATGCTGACGCCAGTGGCGTCACAAGGGGGTGCGTACCGCCCCTCGTGGTTGCTGCTGGGCAGTGAAAGGGCGGGTGGGAAATGGGCGGTTCGCAGCGGGCTACCTCCTTGGGTGCTGCTCTTTCTAGTGACATCGCTGGTCGACGCGGCTGAGGCGTGATTGGAAAACCCCTCATGTGGTTGAGACTTAAGACTGCGTCCACGAATTGGCAGTTTTTAGTAGGCTTCTGTGGACCTTGCATTACAGCAGAGACATGTGGTCATCGGTGTAGAAAACTGCATCCTATATGGGGTTGGTTAGTGACGAGCCAGTATGGCAGTAAATTCTGCAGGAGCTGTAGTTAAACAAGTTGCTGCTGTTTGTCCCAAGATGGAAACATGCTTGCCGCTAATTTTAGAACTTCGGTATGAAATGCAGTGATTTTGCTACCTGTGGTGACCAGCCTGTGAGATCCAGAGCTGTTAGGTTTCTCCCGTCAGATAAAAGGGACTCGCTGGTCTGACCCAGCGGTAGTCACGAAACCGAGCATTGCATTGGCTGGTCGCACGGAGAGTATAGAATCCAGTCGGTTTTTAACCTTACTACGTCATAGACAGTCCATGTAAAAAATTATGTAAAAAAAATCATATAAAAAGCTTGCTTTGGAAATTGTGCTTCTGAATTTCTGTCAGTAAGGTTCTGATTCTTTAAACTACCGTAGAATACCGCATATCCGCCCACTCCACATTAAGCACCCATTCCCAAATTTGTAACATCTGAGAAAATATGCGCGGTACATTTATATGTAAAATTGATGACCGGACAAGCGCCCATCCCCCGTTGTCTCGTGATTATTTCCAAATTTTGTGTGGGCGCTTGCCCAGTATTTTACGGTATGTGGTACAGTTCGACACTGTTTTTTTTTGTTGTTTTTTTTCTCTCTTTTTGTTGTGCATTATGCCTAGCCCATCTTTCATTTTGACTTGTGGATACTAACGAGAAGTTGGCGCAAAAGCAGCTGCCGAAAATAGTATGCCTTCCCAACCCCCTCAGCATCTCTGTCGGTGTCTTAGAAACTTGCTGTTTATGTTGCAGAGCTCGGTTCTGAAAACATGAAGATGTGTCTGCAAGTTGTACAGGCTTACATCCTGCTGTTTCCAAAAGAGTTTCTGCAGGTGAAAGCTTGTTCCATGTTCCTTGATCTCTCCGACTTGCTTGGTCAAATTGAGACTCCATTTGTAACGAGATTAGCGGCTGTTTGCATTACCGCAGACTGCCATCTACTAGTTAATTGGCTCTGTAACTAACTCATTAAACTTGCACTCCAGCCCCTGTGTCGTATAAGATTTTACCGTGCTGGTCTATAAAAGTTTTATAAATCATCACTTGAGATTTTGAAAAAATGCATGTTTAATGTGTAATAATTTATTCGTGTACTAAGGATAAAAAATTTCAAGTGGTAAATTTAAATAAAGCGTTTCCCCTGTGATTCCTGCAGAGCCGAAGAAAACAGTGAAATGAGGAGAAGCGTTTGTTTCGATTGTGGTGAAATCTTTGTCTGAACGAACAACTTGTAATTTGTTTTTCGTTTTGTCCGAATTGCAGACATATGGGGACAGGTTACTGAAGGCAACCACCGAGCTTGTGAACGACCTGAACCGCGAAGGAATGTTGCTCGTCATGAGGGTAACAATACATTGTTTACTTCTTTCGGAAAAATTTAATTTGCTAAACCTGCATTACTGCGCAGTTACAAACCTGTTAAAACTTATCCTGGAAAGATTGCAAAGCTTGTTTTAACCCTCTCTAACACTGTGGAACTTGTCTGTGGATGTGAAATTCACTTGCAATTTTCCTCTTCTGCTCTCTATCCTTCAAATCGGCACCCTTTTTACGTAACACGCCTTGTGCCAAATACTTTCGGTTATGGCAGTTTTGCACCTGCGCTTAGCAGGGCAACTTTAACCTTATTTGTGTTGCTTCACACAGATGGTGTCTTATGTTGCATGTAGCTCTGCTAAGTGCTGTTTTTCCTGGTCTTATATGAACTTTTTCTTTTTTTTTTTTTCCAGATGGTGGAACTTGTCATCAGGGTGTTTCCAGAACAGGGCCCACAGTTATTTTACCCATTACTGATCCACGCGTTGGACGAATCTTTAGAAGGAGAGGTGAGTTTCCTTCATGACTGATGCCTAAAACTTAACAGCAAGCTTTAGTTGTAAAAAAGTACATGTCCTTATTCGAAGGCTGCAGAGCTAAAACTGCAATGCCAAAAATCACAGACTTGTGAGAATGTCCGTGATTGTATGTGTTATTGTTAGGCATTGTATTTGTTATTGTTAGTTATCTGCCCAAAGAGCACTACAGAGAGCCCTTCTAAAAAAAATCCAAAGCACCACCTCAAGCTATCCGTGATTGTATGTGTTACTGTTGGGCATTATATCTGTTATTGTTAGTTATCTGTCAAAAGAACACTGTAGAGAGTCCTTCTGAAAATTCCAAAGCACCACCTCAAGCTATGGTTCTTACCTTGACTGGTATGCCGGTTAGCATAGGCAAAACAGCTTGTTTCTCTGGCACCAGTGCAAATACAGCTGTGCCGGTTGCCACTGCTTTATCGTAACATCCGAAGATATAAATTGGCTCTTCGCATTTATTTCATGTACTGGCAATCATTGTTCACACACTTATTGAACAAAACATGTGTCATGCAAGATTACTCGGTGGAAGACATGGCATCTAAACGGTGCAGAGTAAGCCCGCGTCTCAGACAAGCGATATGCTTCTGTGCAGAAAGCTTCGATGCTGACATCGGTCTGCCTGTCCATCATTTCCCGGGTGATCCTCCATTGCAAGTCTTGCTTCACTAAGCTTCTTCAGGAGGAAGCTCAGAGCAAGGGCTGCGAGGTATGGCTTCCATTGTATGTGTGTGCAGACATTCAATACAGCAGAACTTTTCTATTGTAAAGTCAGTTCTTTTTCAGCGTAAATCTTCACTACATCAGTATATTTTGGGGACTTATATCGGCATTACAAACATGCTTCAAATTTGCTTCAGAACATTCATATTGATGCTATACGAAAAACAGGAATGGAGGGACCTCTTTGGATTGGCAAAGCCAATTCATAAAGGTGTTTTGTTTTTTTTTCGTTTTCAGAAACACTTTTTAGTTATCAACACCTCTGAAGCACAGTGATGCCCAAAAGAAAGGCATTCATTTTTGGGGTGTTATCACCCATTATGGATGCTTGCTAATTGATGATAAACTAATTAAGTATGTATAATGGGGAGAAGCCCCATTTTTACAAACTGTCTGGGGGCAGTGTAATCAACAGTGAGCACAAAGGCAGTGTTTGAGGCGGGCCATCCTTGAATTTCACTTACTCCCATGCCGCTCTTAAGAAAGAGCTGAAGTTGCTCATTACCTTTCTTAGATCCACAGGTCAGTTTCTGGTGACTTATCTGTGAAGTCATCTTCTGTGACGCAGAAGACCCCTTTCCAGTGTGCTTCTCTTTATTCACTCTTGTACACCTCTCTCCTCCTCCCCAAAAGGAGCTGATCTCTGGGCTACTCCCTCAGAAAAAGAGGAGAGTTTTCTTATTTTCGGCTGCCCTGTGGGCCTTATTGGAAGTGCTGATTTGTTTGAAATACCCCGACCTGCTGTCCTTGGCGCAATCTTTTTTTGTTGTAGGCCACGTCACAATGTCCTTTGTTTGCATTTGTGTTTATATGTGCACGGATGGTTGTGCATGCAGGTGGAGGAAGTTTTTGGGAACTTGCTGGACAAGTGGATCGAGAAGATGCCACTCGTGAACCCAGTCGAGAGAGAGAAGCTCCTCGCCCTTACCCTCACCTCCATTCTCACCTCAAACTCCAAGTGAGTGCTCAGCACAAGCTGCCACCGCCAAGATATTCATGTGGTACTCTATGACAGCTTCCAAGCACTGAAACGGTCGTAATGGTGTTCGAAGCAAGTCGTCGTCCATACAACTTTTCTGGACGAGAAGTGACAGGAAAGATTTCCACGCAAGCTTTTGTCCAAAGTGTTTTCAGTGTGGAATAACTAAATGTTCTCTGAGGATGACAAGGCGAAAACCAATCTGCTCTGCTCCGAGGTCTTGTGAAAAGCCTGCCACTGACTATAGTGAGGTTGATTTTGTAACTTGGAAAACTTTAGAATCAGCTGGTGTTCCAACAAGTCCTATGTTCTAAAGTATGAGACTCCTAGGAGCGATCATTTGACTAGTTTTAGCTTCATTGTTAGCTAAAGCAGCAGACTATGGGAGTCACGTGTTCTACAATGCTGCACACCTGTTTTAGTTTTGCAGGCTCGATTTATTGCACGGAACTTGTAGAATGAAGAGCACTGTCTTGTATAGAGGCTTCTGACTCTGTGCCATAGTTTATCGCTTAGCTGTAGTTAGTTGTCCGCACACTAGTGCAGCGAGAACCAAACTCGTGATCTTTGAGCCTGCAGTGAAAACCTGTGCTTCACGTGATCTGAGCTCCAGTGGTACTGTGGTGACTCTTTGGTGTTCACAGAGGGATGCCTGCATTTATGAGACACATTGATGTTTCTTTTTTCTTTTTTTGCTGTTTCTGTTTTAGCGCCGTGTACGAGCGTATCTGTGGGATCCTGTTGGCCATTGTGGAAGTGCTGAACGACGTAACAAAATGTGACAACCTGGGAGCTCAAGTGGAGTGAGTTTTCATTTCTCTTTTGTGGGCCGTCAGTTTCCTCGCTTTCACTTCCAGAATGCTTTATATTTTTTATAGTATGTCTTCTAAGGTCAAAGTAGATATGTTGTACGGAATTTGATTTTGCTTCTTTACTTGCAAGGCCAATTTTCAGTTTGGTTGGAAGCAAACATTTTGTTAACATCTTTCCATCTGTCCACAGCTCTCTGGTAATGCTCGACAACGAGCCAGTCCCGACAGGTGAAGACGAAAGTGAGCACGACTCTCGCAAGATTGAGGTGAGCTTTGTTTGTTATAAGGTCTTTTCGTGAAATGCCAGCCAGAGGTCCAAAAGCTTATTTTGTTCAACCTTGGTCGCAAACTTAGCAGAAAGATAAAAATATTTGTTGCCATATGTGTGCAGTTCTACGAGTTGAAGTTAAGTTGTTCTACTGCCACCAATCTTGTCACTGACGTTTTAGTCAGGCCTGCGAAAGTCTCGGTGGTGACAATAAAATCTTGGAAGTGATGTTATGGATGCGAACATACTGCAGTAAACTTTCGTTAGTTCGACCTCGGTTAATTTGACTTTTCGTTTTAATTCAATTGTGTTTAAAAGTCCCGGCAAGCACCCATACATTTCTATGGAAGGATAAGTTTGATAGTTCGAACTCGGCAGGGCTTCCCATCGGATAATTGGTCCGGAGCAAATGCGCGGGCTCACCATTCCGTTCTTCGATGGCAGTCGTTATTCCTGACATTGCGCGGCTTTTGGTTCGGCAGCAGTGGCATCCATTTTGCGTACTGCCGTCATCGCTCCTGGCAGCTCGCAAGCCTTGTACGAACCTTAGCACGCAGTGACGACGAACATCGGTACAGATCGATTAAAAATCACTACCTTTCAAAGTTCAGAAGTTTCAATAAATCAGCTTTATTTTTTATCTTGTCAGTCTCACTGGTTAGAATATACTCGAGTCATAATCCACGTCAAAGTCTGCAAAGCAAGAATATCTGCATTCTACACATTCCTTTTTTACAGCAGACAAAAATGTTCAACGGTGTCAAGATCTGTTATAACGACTTTATGCTTTAGTGGGAGATGCGTTCCAGGCACAATACTCGCGCCAGTGTTCCGAAGGCCTAATGTTTTCTAACGGTTTGTTGCCCGACAGCTGTCCCGGCAAGATCCCGTGCACACCGTGGCACTGAAGGACTACCTGTGCTCACAGATGCGAGCCCTGAGGGAATCGCTCGGGGACCAGCACTTCGAGGAACTAATGTCCCAGGTCGACGTGGAAACTATGCAGCAGCTGAAGCTCTATCTCGAGGGCCCAGGCGTCTCCCAGCAGCAGAACCACGCTTTGGGAGGGCACAACGTGCTCGACGTCCCCCGCATCGCCAACTCGAACCCGACGTGATGCCGTCGTCTGCCCGTGCTCGCCCCCGGCGTACCCCCGACTTTCGCCTGTCGTTCTACGACTTTGGTCCGGCATTCGCTCCACCTTTGCGCACTGCCGGGAAGGATCTGTAAGGTACTGAGGAGGAAAACGAGAATGTTAAAAAAAAAAGGGGGGGGGGGGGGGGGGGGGGGCTTGTGGTTTGTTGCTTGGAAAGAAGGCCGCCCTTGTTCGTACGCGTCTTTGGATGGTGAAAGAGTGCTTTTGATGCAGAGACCAGTTTGGGAGGATGGAGATCCAGTGGGCTGTTATTGCTTACTTGCGTGAACATGCTTCTTTCATTCTGCTACTGTTGGAAGGCGGGGGGGGAGGGGGACGAGCGATCGGTAACTTGCAAAGGTGGAGCCGTATTGTGTGCATCAAAAGCTGCCCCTCTCTTCTACTGCACAGTAGCAGTCGCAATAAAGTAGATCACCCATGTAGCTAATGTGTCATTCACTGTCGGAAGATTTAACGTTGAGAGTTTTTACACTGTCCATCGTCGATACATTTCAGAAAGTGTATTGGATGAAGTTGTGAAAGAATGTGGGAAAACTAAATCTCCGTCTTAAATTGAGAAATTATCTTATTCTATAGATATGGAGAGGTACTATTTTTGACATCATTGTAGATTGTTTCTGTCGATTTGATGTGGCCTTTTTGGGGTGGGAGCAACTGTGCAGGGGTTTTCACCAACTACTGAGAATGCTTTCTCAAAAAAGGGGCAGTTAAAGTTTAAAAAAAATTCTTCCTTCGAAACAATGTTATTGACTGTGGCAGACGTCAGGTAGAGAGTGCGAAGTGATAACTAACAAATTAGTTGCGTTCAACCCACTAATGAACTTCAAATACATTCGCTTTAGCTGTTGTTTTCCGGTTGGAAATTTCTTGCCCCCCTTCAAAATATGCAGTTCTTAGAGTTCCGACTACTAAACATTATTTTGTGCTGTTCTCTGGCAAAGTTAGGCTGTCTGGAGTTCATCACACGGAAGTAGAAAAAAGTGGCATTTACGAATCATTGCGAATATCTTCGGGAGACCTGCCCCACTCTGCTCTTTTCTGTGACCACGTGACCCCGTGACCCCGTGATGCAGCAGAGTGTGGTGCTTCTTTTTTTATGACTCCCCGAAATAATGTGGCACTGTCTGATTGGCTCGCAATGATTGGCTACTCACACCCGCTGCGGACGTCACTTCCAGGTGGGACTTCCACCGCTTTTTTCTTCATGTTTCCAGTATCTCATTCTGACAGATTCAATTTGTCAGAATAGATTGTGGAGCAGAATTTAGTTGTCTAAATTTTAACAGCAGCCAGGGCATATTTTGATGTCTGCCAACACATTCCCTAATTGGAATGTGCCAGCTAAGGCTATCATTACAAAAGTTAATTAGTGGATTTCAGGTAATTGATCCGCTAATTATTATTTTACACGCGACTTAACGTCCTTTGCAGTCGACAGCATTATCCCGAAGGAGTCATTTCTTGCTTTTTGCTTAACATTGATGACTTGACACAGTATGGTGTTTATTTGAATAGATATAAAGAGACAGGAAATAAATAGCAGCTTATGTTTTAATTAGTGATTTCCCTTTTTTTTTATTTAGTTATATTCTTACTACTGTTGTGAACTCCTATTATATATCTAAGTTTCACTATCTACTGTAGATTCCTAGACCACAGTACTCAAACGTGCAGACGATTTCTTTCCTGAAGCAAAAGTAACTCAAATTGGCATAATTAGAAGAAAAAAAGATTGAGGCTTAAATTGTATTTTAGCTTCTGTTTTAAGTTTCACAGAAAGAAAGCAGTCAAAAGTGGTTTTGTCTCTAAAACCTTGATTAGATGCCTTCGTTTTGAGCTGAATTGCTGTACTATACTCCGTTTCAGCATAACTTGGCAAAGAGCAATCACTATGCCCCTCTGAGCCAATCACAGGGACGGATCAAAGCACGCTGGGATGATCTGTCACATGCCCCATCCGACACTGATTGACTCTGAGGTGTCAGCTTCTACTGTTTGCCAAATTGTGATGAAACAGTATGGCAAGTGATGGGTTTAAATTGTCTAAACTTGCCAGATATTTTAAAAGTTTCTGTATTCAAATACACAGCACTCTGTGTTCGGAAGTTTACGAAGGGCATACTGACCCACTTTCTGAGTTGCAGGGATTCTAATCTTTTTACGGTCTACCACAGATATGTCAGGCTTGCGACCGAACGGGGTTATTTACTGCCGAGGAGAATTATTTGCATAAAGTTAAGAGTTGAGGCTTTGTTTGTGGATATGATATATGGTTGCATTGATTGCTCCATGTGCCTGCATGCATTGTAAGAGTAGCTGCTGAGAGGGGCCCAAATTCATTGCGGTGATTTCAACGACGGAATGGGGGAAGGTTGTGGGAGGCCTTCAGACGAGTTGTATAGAACACGCTTTGACACTAAGAAACCCATGAAATGGGATTCTTTGACGGGTTGCAATTTATTTTTCGTAGTGTTGGTGTGATTTACTGCTGCCTGATTGAGGCTGGTTTTTGTTTACCTGATGAATGTCTTTTGTTGGGGGTGGGGACGGAGGCGGGGTTTGTGCGAAAATTGTGTACTATAATTGCACTTCCAGGGTTTTTAATTTTTTTTTTTGTTTTATTTAGACATATGCAGATTTTTAGTTTAACTAGTTGTCAAACTACCCTTTTGGTTTTTCTTATTTCCATGTTGCTCCCAGGTTAATTGTGACTTCTGTAACAACTCCTACGTGACGGAATAGTAAAGGCATGTCGTAATAATTAACAGGGAACGGCGATCTGTGTTCGTGTTCTTCCTTGGACATGACATTTCATGAAGCCATTTGCTCGACTTCAATTCTTGGCTGTTCTATCTTTGTTACCATTCCTCATGCCAATGAGAAAAATTGTGCCATTGCATTTTGAGCAAACACCAACTGCATGGGCTGTTGTTGATGAGTCCCTAAAGCTTTAGCCAAGAAGAGGCGTGACATGGTTTGAACTACTGCTTCCGTGAGGACAGATTGACGAGTTAGCCACTAAAGTTTCTTCTCCCGCTGCTAACAGTGTTTAAATATCTTTCATTTTCCTGGCTGTGTCTGCAACATTGAAAACCCTTTGATTGAACTCCTCAGAGCTGCGCAGGTGTGTATGTGATTGTGTGTATGCATAAAGGTGGAGACTGTTAATAAATGTTGTTTCCCACACAGTCTGTCTTCTGTGTCCATTAAGGGGTGCATAAGAGAGTTAAACTTATTACAATAATAATAATAATGTAGATGGTTGAGCGTGTTGGTTTCTAATTTACGATAAGAAAATAGGGACATCGAAGACAAACAGTTTGTCTTCAGTGTTCCTCCTTCCTTATCGTAAATAATATTGTTATTGAGAAAATTTTCTACTTGATTTTCTTAATGAGCCAGTTGATTTGCTTTGTTATGATGCTTACCGTATCACCAATCCGATCATTGCTGAAAGCTATCGCATTTGCCAGTGTTCTCATGTATACCTTCCTTAGCCTCCTTTATTCCAGAAAGCCTGTCAATTCCACGGCGAAGCCATTGAACGCGCGACCGCCGGAAAATGGCGAGGAGCAGCGCTGAACGGTTACCCATATGTAAAATTTCGTGTTTCCCGAGTTTTTTTTTTTTTTTTTTTTTCCCTTTGAGGTGGGGGTGTTTGTTTTGTTCTTTTGCGGGGGGAGGGGAGATTTGTTTTTACAGATTCGGTGCTTTTTGTGTAAATTGGTTAATTAATTTACACAAAAACACCGAATTTGGGAAAATATAACCCCTTCCCCTCCCCAAAAATACAAAAAAAAAACACCGAATTTGAAAAAAATAATAAGTCGGGGCTTTAATTTACGTTGTGAAGGTGGTTGGCCAGCGAACTGTGGTATTACAACGATTGTCCACTGCACTATACCAAATGATTGACGAACGAAAAGTAAATGCACAGTACCAAAACCTTTTATATACAGGCCGGGTTTTTCACGTAAGAGAGAAAAATTCCTAAAATTAGTGTATTCGAGGTAGAAGGATAATTTTCTCAGAACCGCAGTACTCGTGGGGGGCGGACCTAAAAAAAATGCATGATGCTATTTGATAACTAGTGAAAATAGACATGGTTCCAATTAGAAACTTGCTGAGCGTCATCAAAAACCCCTAAATCAGTCATTTTCACGAAGACTGAGCGCATGAGAAACGTGGTAGTGCACTAAAGTTACCACTCGCGGAGCAAGTACAAGGCTGACTTGCGGTGAGGCGCTCGCGCGATTTTTCCGTCTCTTATGAGAGCCCCAGCCATGTACCATGTTCCGCGAGTGGTAAATTTAGCGCATTACTACGCTTCTCACGCGTAGTAATGCGCTAAATTTCTTTCTGAAATCTGATCAGTAATTTCCAAAAAAGTCTGGAAATTACTGATTTTGTGGTTTTTGATGGCGCTCAGCAAGTTTCTAATTGGAACCATATGTCTTTTTTCACTAATTAAAAATTGAATTAGTAATTTTCTTTAATTAACAAACTCATTAGTAATTATCGCACATTTTCTGACGTCCGCCACCAGGAGTAATGCGGTCCCGAGAAATTTATCCTTTTACCTCCAATACACTAATTTTAGGAATTTTCGTCACTCTTACGTGAAACACCCTGCATGAAATGCTAGTGACGTCACTCCCCACGTCGCTAGCTGTCGTCCCCGAGTCAGCTTGCGCAACAGTAATCTTTACCGAGAAACGAATGCGGGGAGCTCTACGTGCTTCGCATTGTTATCCGGAGCACCTTATCGTCAATTATGGGGTTCGGATGCTTGTTTTGTGCTTGTTAATTCTTTATTGAAACGAATGTTGTGCTGTATGTTGTATACGTAATATGTGCTTTTCGCTTCAATCAATATATATATATATATTTTTTTTCGTGAGGACGCCGACACGAAGAATTCTGACTGGCGAGTCATATACCGTTTCACAGTAAAAATAAACTCCGTATAAACACGGATCTTTGCCTATATGGTAGTGCAGAGCCGCTTCTGGGGTAGGCCTTCAGCCAGCGCCCACAATACGTGCGATGGTCTCCGCAAAACAACAAACCGCGACAGAAAAAAGAAAGGAGGCTATCAGCGCGTAAAGAAACAGGAAAGGGGTGGGATAGAGGAGGGTCCACGCAAAATGTTCTCCTTTCCTGAAGAAAAAAGAAAACGAAGCGCGGATGGAAACGGATCGACAAGTGCAAAAATGAAAATGAAGGTTTAACCAGCGAATGTGTGCCAGAAACAGAAGGAAGAGCGTCGAAGTGTCGGTGTGACACCTGGCTAGCGCGAGAGTGAAGTCGGAAAGGACACTCTGGGCTCCTTATTTAGTGCACTCGGGATCTCTAATATTCGGCCTTGAATGTTCGAGCGTCGAACACTCAGGAAACTAACCCGGCAAGGTGATGTTGACATACTACACTTGGTGTCTTGAGCATTGCAATCAAACGTAGAATCATTTTGGGTAAGAGTAAACGCGAATCTTCCAGAAGTACGGAGTAGCGTTCCTCTCGGTGCAATATAATTACGGTCCTTCGCAGTGGCGTACCAACTTGTTTTTGAGTGAGTGTGTGTGTGGGTGTGTGTGTGGGGGGGGGGGGGGGGGGGGGGGGGGCAAAGCAGGGGGGCTATGTTGCACGTTTTGGACTCCCAGGAGACTAGGGAGACGGAAGTGACGTAGGTGTGAATGAACGTATCTTAGCAGCACCACGCAACGCGTGGTGCTCCCTAGTCTCCTGGGAGTCCAAAACGTGCAACATAGCCCCCCAGACCCCCCCTGGGCCGGGGGGCGGTACCCTTGGTATCCCTTGGGCGCCGCCGGCCAGTGTTTGCCTTGTCCAGTGGCGGCTGTTTCAGAATGGGGGGGGGGGGGGGGGGGTACAAAACACGTCTTGCCCCCCCCCCCCCCCCCTCTGACAACTGAGGGGGGGGGGGCAAGTGCCCCCCTTGCCCGCCGGTTGGTACGCCCATGGTCCTTCGTTTTCGGGTTACACCCCGATATTTCTCGATATTCAAACCCCGGATATGTTTCTTGAAAATCGGGTTAAACCCGATTTTTCCCCGAATTCGGAAATTGAACGCCTGCACTTTTCAATAACTCTCATCTGAAAATATTTTCTAAGAAACAAAGGGTTGGTAGGGACAGGTGCGGCGCGGCTCCAGACCTCGGGAACAATCCTAGGTTGTTCTTTGGGATTCAGTGAACTGCAGTGAAATACATCGAGCCCTCAAGTGTTGCCTTTGTGTCCATTGTGAAGTATCCTTTGCCCTTCTCCTTTATCCGTTTCAGTAAAAGCATTAAGGAAAAGAGCAAAAAAAAAAAAAAAAAACGAGAGAGAAATTTGCATGTTTATTGTAAGTAAGCTGTAATGCTGAGATACCGTTCTCTCAATTCGAAAAGTATGTCGGAAAACCGAGCAGTTCTAGGATGGAGACAATTAAAGGTGCTGCGCCTGCAGAATGAAAAATTTAAGAGCCGATGATGTGAGCTCTTACCATGTTTCGATGCTATATCGTGTACAGTGCACTATGAAAGAATACTTGTATTTAAACCGATCACTCGTTAATTATACTTGTATATTTCTATATATAACCTGAAAACCACGAATTTCGTAATAATTAAAAGAAAAAACGATTTCTCTCTGATTACTATTTTGAATCAAAGGGCCCGATTTTTATTCCCCGATTTTTGGAAAAATGTAAAACCCGAAAACGCAGGACCCTAAATATAATGAGTCGCACCATAAAACCGAGTGATCGAAAAAGTAGAAAGAACAAAATAAAAACGTAATACAACGAGTCATACAACAAAACGAAGCACACAAAAAGAAAAACACAATATACAAAACATACTTTTAAGGCAGTTCCGGCATTCATAGCACGGTGGAAGCAAAAGAAAAACTCTAATGGAGCCTGTGAAAAATAATAACGATAGGCGCGCAAGGCCCCTTTTTTCTTGAAGAGGTAATACACAGGTAAAGCAAGCTATGATCGAGTATTCCTGGGGTCAGAGGTTTTGTCCAAAAAAAAAAATCATGAAATGTTATTTAATTGAACTACCTAATTTCAGGATTTGTTTTCTGTCCGTGTATTTTCCCGACAAATTTAGAACGGAAATTAACGCCACGTCACCAATTACGTTTCCTCGCTAAATTTAGCGGGAAAATTGACGTCACGTGAGCTAATTCAGCTTCCCCGTTAAACTTAGCTCGGAAATTGCCGTCACGTGAGATAAAGAAAAAATTCACTTTGCCGGCAGAGTTTTGCGGAAAAGTTTACGTCACGTAACCTAAACACCAATACACGTGGACACGTGCTCAAGCGGGCGCTGGCACTCCCTCGACCAAGGAAGCAAGGTCCGGCTGATTCTATTGAGCTCCAGCGACCTAGAATGGGTTCCCCAAAAGTGCTTGTTTACAAAACGACAGCTGTTATGGCCACAATTCCCACCACTGGAAAAGACGTCCGTGTTCGATATTGTAGTTGGCGTTGAAGGGCTTGCGTCGCCGATGCTGCCGAATCCTCGGGAAAGATCACCCGCTGGCCGCGGGAATCGAACCTAAGTCCGCTGCGTGCTAAGCGGAGGCTTTATCACTGGCTGCATTTACATGGGTGCGACCGTAGCACATCGAGTCGAGATTTCACGATTTGATTGGTAGCAGTTGGGTAGAAGAGGAAGAAGTAAGAAGACAGGCTGCGTGGGATTGGTCCCTGCTCGATTCGACGCGCTACGATCGCATCCATGTAAACTTAGCCACTGAACTACGCCACAGTTTTTTTTTCTTTTCTTCTTTAAAAAAAGATATATATACATATTATTGCGAGTTACGGGCTACAGCGGCGGTAATAACCCGTTCTATATAGAGCCAGTTGCGCGTTCATCCCCTTAGCGCCGTCTTTCCTGCACGGCATGTTGATCCTGCTCCTCACGTGACTGAATTCGGCGAATAGCAGCGCCGCGCGTTCGAGGCGCGCGGCGCGCTCAAAAGCTGGGGAACGTACGCCGGGGCGCGTGCAACGTCTCCTTTCCTGCACGGAAGTTGATCCGGCTCCTCACGTGATCGGATCTCGGCGAATAGCGGCTTAGCGGCACGTGGAAAACAGGCGCGTAACTCTGGCTCCCGTAGGGAGCCAGAGTTGCGCGTCTGTTTTTTAATCGAGCGTTCACTGAAATTCGTCCAC